ACTATATGAGACTGGTTCTTTTAATGTTTTAGTCGGGATAACCGCTACATTTTAAACTTCTTCATAATCTTGCATGATTGGATCCAATGATCATTATACAAGATTGTGTTTAATAGGGTGGCTCATTTCACCACTTTTTGGCGTGTTAATGAATTTGTAGGACAATGACAGGTCTACATCTACACTCATCACAATCTACACATCATATAAATGTGAAATGTGAAATGAGAAAAGAGGGATTCCATTTCAAATTTGATGCGTACAGAGCAATTTTTTAGGGGTAAATTTAGAAGATGCCAGTGCGGTCGGTCTGTTGAGCACGAAAGTAAAAATATGTTTTCATTTAAACGGGCCCAAACTGTTATTTGGCCCACTAATCGTGCACCCATCGCCAATGCAGTCAAATTCGGGATTTTGATTGTAAAATCGTAGGATTTTAGGATTTTACTTAGGGATTCCGATCTTGATTTTACTATAAAATCGGTGGACCTTAAAATCGTTTAAAATCGGGACTAAAATCGTTAAAATCGTAAAATAGTACCGAAATCGGGATTTTGATCGTAAGAGAACAAAATAGGTGGTTTGAGCCAATTTAAAATAAGTATAACTGTTTCAGCGGAAAGGGCAATGGAATCTTCTCAGATATTTTTCTATTAGAAAAATATTCAAAAATAATAAAAATAACCAAATTAGGGTTCGGTTAATCTCTTTCCCTTCACCCCATTTAACTTATTGGTAAAACACCTGTCCCAATATTGGAAGTATGTAAGAACTAACATCATTATTAACTAATTAATTTATTAATGAATATATTTTTACCAAGCCACTAACATTACTTATTTTATTGGAGTTCAATTATTTTTAGTTTTAAATCATACTTAGTAGACGATGTCGAAATATTACTTTGAGTTAAACAACCTAGACATAACATGAAAATAAGAGCCAAACCCATGAACTATATCCCTTCATCATGAATTATTTTGAGTTACACATTATATAACAATTAAAATAGTGATTTTGGAACATTAATCTTGAGAATTATCTTATGGAAAAAAAATCTTCTGAATTATCATTTTAAATGCTATGTGTCTTTGTGATATTAATAATTTACCTTATTAATATTCTTATATGCTATGTTCTATATGGTACTTAAAATCCTACGATTTTACGATTCGATTATACGATTTTGATTTTACCCCTGTTTTCGATTTTAGGTAAAATCTCGATTTTAACTGCTTTGCCCATCGCAGCCTCTCCAAATCTTCCTATTCTACTTGCCGGGTCATCTCCTCCACTACAAAATATCTCCTCATGTACTCAAAGTTCTCATTGAAACCTAATATCTACAATTAGGCGGAGAGGGAGCAACCGATGGATTATAGCGACCCCCACTATTTTGATAGCTAATCAAGAAGAGCGCGTTTGTTTAGTTGTATGGTGATTCACTTAATTAACAATTTTTATTCCGTTGACAGCCTCCTCTCCGCAATTGTATTGTGTTCACGAAGATCTGAAGGCGCAAGTGCAACAGGTCCAGGGGTAAACAATATGTATAAAGCGTTGGCCAAATTGAATTGAGTCATTCTACTTGGAATATGACGATTTTTGCTTAATTGCTTTGGTTCGTGATGCAACTATGTTATGTTTGAAGGTAGACCAACGCAAACAACAGCACAGCTCCAGGGCAATTCTGCACTTTAGGTAGTTGGGGCATTAATTGATAATTATTTGGGATTATTCCTACAAGTACATAATTTGGAATGTGCCAGTATATTGCATTGATTAATCGTTGTTTGATATTTTTCAAATGAGTGATTTGACATGTTAAACTCTCTTATTTTTGAAAATGGAGTCTTCGAAGTGGAATATGAAGATTTTGGATTAAGCTTGGTTTCGTAACGCCCTTATGTGTGTTTATTCTCTAAAATGCAGCTGTCTTTCAAAGTGCCCGTTGCAAATGGCAAGTCAGGATACAACGATGGTACCGGTACACGTTTATATCATTAGTAGGTAGCAGATTGTGTCCATTCTACTATATCATTTAGCTAAATACTTAGTTGTTCTTTTCAACTAAAAATTATGCTTAAATGCTGTGATTGGCCTCAGAAATGTATGTCTTTGCATTAACTGTTAATGATTGTGAGTTTTGGTTTAATGGTGAAAAGTCCATTTATTTAGAAGTCTAAATTGGGCAAACCTATTGGACAATAGGAATGCCATACATTAGTGTCGTGGGAGGTTTGTTTGATGTCTCAGGGTGTTAGATTTTTAAGAAGGTTGTTTGTTGTGGCAGAGAGTCCCTAAAGCTAGCGAGGTATTCCTATGTGGGCTTTTTCTTTGTTTGACTTTTTCTCGCCTTTTTTCTTATCTCTTTTTCTATTTTTGGTTTTTGTGTGCTACCTTCAGTTGCTACGTCTTCATTTGTGAGCCATCTATACTTTTCTTATTCAGTGCCTAAAAATCATATATACTCGATTGCATAGTAGTTACTAATAGATACATTTATACCAATAGAGAGATTTTAAGTTTTATCAGTTGTTAGTTTTAATATTTACTTACATTGGTTGTTTATGTAGTTTTCTTTGTAATATTTCTCATTATACAACTAATTACTATGGCTACGTAGTTGTATAAGTGGGGGTTGGACATGATAGTTCTTAGAAGCATCAATACTTGAAGGTTATTATAATGACCAAATTCTAAAGTTATGGTTTGCCTTCAACTTGCTTGGAGCATTTCAATTATGCATCAATTGTTCTCTCCGTGTAGTTAACTCTCAGACAAATCGAAAATCTTGCTGATATGTGCTTGATTGTAGTTAAATTTAGGGTTCTACTGCATTGTTGCTTTACTCTTTTTTCGTGGTTGAGTCTGCTTCAAAAAATTTAGTTTGATTTTAGAAAATTTTGCTTCTGCAGTCCTGTCTTGCCACCAACGCGTTCAATAGATGGAGACGGGAGAGGCGAAGGCTATTTTTGTGTTGTTGTTGCTGGTTTAGGGATCGGTTTGTGAAGAAGAGGGAGAAGAGAGGGGGAAAGGGAAATGCAGGAGAGGGGGATAACTCTTTTCTCCGACTAAAATGGAGTGAAGAAAGGAATTATGATCAGTAAGAATATGGTTATCTTACATAACGGTCTCTATTCTGTTTGAATTGAGCTTGAGAGGCAGTGATAAGGACGAGCTGCAACCAATTCATAGTGAGAAGAGAGCTATGAACTGTGATCATGTCTTATTTCAAGTTAGAAGGTAGTTTCAGTATAAGGATTATTTAATTTGACAAGTTGTTTCGTCCATGATTCTTGGTAGTTTCAGTGTCATTCTAGCCAATGTTTAGTCTGTAATTTTTGAGAATTGATGTGCGAGTAATGACTTTCACTTAGCTTCAACTATTATGTGTGTATTTATTGGCATGTGATAGAATTCTCTTTTCCTTTTCATTGAATTCATTTTCATACTCTAATTGTATTATTTGTACATAGGCAAATCATGCTCGAGATGGCAACTCGCTGATATGGCTGGTGCAAGGAATGAAGCCATCATTAGAATTCAGACCGACAACGGGGAGGGATGCCCAGGACTAATTCAATGATGATTGATGATGGTATAATAAAAACTGCAGTCTGCATCAGCACCAATTTCTAGGCCTAAGTAAAGGTATTCAACCCAGAACTCTGCTTAGCGTTAAAAATTGCCCTCACCCAACCTTGATCCTGTTTGACCCACTTCTGAAGAGTCAAGATATATGACTAATCCTCCCCGTTCGTATTTTCTTATTGACTCTTTCTGACCCTGTAGGTTGGGGCGGGTCGGGAAGAATTGGATTAGTGGGTCGGTCATAATCAAGTGGAATCTCAATCCCTTCACTCTCACTTGCTTTCTCTCCCATTCCACAAGTGGGTAACATACAGTAATCCGGCCAACGGGCCGGGTAATAAGCTAGTGAGTTATGAGATGGAAATGGATCGGATTGGCCGGATTTCTCTAAACTCAAACTCATCCCAGTTTCAGTAGGTATACGACAAAAATCCAATAAAATATTTATTGAATTTAAAAAAAATAAAACGAAAGCCAATTTGATGGGTACTCATGAATTCACGAGCATAACTACACATTATTTCTTGAAACACTCACATTATAATATTATCAAAGATACCCCTAAAATATATATTTCTACCATGACTAATAAAATCCATAAATTATACATATTACTAGAACTATATTGTCATAAAAACTAAGGTCATCCATAAATTGGTCATATAGTTATGATTAGACATAAAGTGACGTCGCATTGCTTTCTAACTTCTATGTGCGGGTTGTGAGGAAACGGGTTCGATTGTAACATAAACCAAACAAACCACCAATTTTAAAAGCGCGGGTAAAACCCACACCTGACCCACAACCCGTCAACACTGAATTTACTAGCTCTGTCCTGGTCGCTCAGGTTTATCTATGTTAAATCGTTATCCCAATCCCAAGTGGTTCTTCATCGACCAAATTCAATCTAATTCAGGATCATTTGAAAGTTGTGTATGTTACGTTCTTGTATTGTAATAAGAATTTAGGGTTGAAGAAAAAGTTGGGCATAAACAGGGTGTTAGGGCCCTGCCTAGTACCTACCTTGTCTTGCCATCAACTAAACATCCTTAAATGTTGGAAGTAAAAAATAACATAATATTTCACAATGGCCTTGAATCACAAGCTTATGAATTAGAGTTATAACGTTAACCTCTCATTTATAACCCGTAAAAAACCTCCCCTTTCTAAACCCTCATTCACGACACATGTTTAAGTATTTAACACAGTGTTGAGAAACAAGGAAGAAGTGACACAAAGCCCGACAAAGGAAACTTAAATCTAAAAGCAACAATCATAACCATCTCAACTTCTTAGTTGCACTTTCAAGCACGGTATTGTGAATTGCGCATATATTCAATAAACACAACCCTTACAAGTTACAACACTATATTCAATAAACACACTCCCAAACGACCTACTTTTTCATCAAAATAAACGACATTCCCATAATAAACCACACCATCGATTCAGAATTAACATAACTAAAGTGTTTCATTCGATTCCGTTTCAAGAAATGGTAGAACAAGAAAACCTTTATCAGAAACACATTACAGAGTCCAAAAACACATTTTGCTTTTCATACTCATTTACCGTCAAAGGCAAAAGTAGTGTACAAAAACTCACTTGCGAAATGTACTAACTACTGCGAGGTTACCTACCATTAAGTTAGCTTACATGTTGAGTTCAGAATTCATCCAAATGGGAAACTGATCGTCCCAAAGAGTTAAAAGAAACACAAACAAAGAAACACAAGTTAAACATGCCCAATCAAACAGGATAAACTCAAGTGTAGCACCTTTGACAACGCTTCTGAAATCTCCTACTTGTATTCTGAGGGAAGAAACGATGCTCACATCAAAATCACCTCATTTCTAGTTCAATGCAAACTAATGATACTCTAAGACTTCCAATGGGATTGAATATTGATGGAATTACGGACCGACTGCACGTGACAAAACCAGGTCACCCTAACCTGCAATCGACCCAGGCAGGATTGAGAGTTCAAGATGTTCACAAAAGTTCTAAGAGGACAGAGCCAAGAACATTGACAAAATACCAACTGTTTATCAACAAGGGGGTATTCCTATGCCTATAGTAAACCAAGTAACCAACCCAAGCTTGCAGTTGGAATGTCTATCAAGCTGAGTTAAAAGGTTCCTGCACTGTTCGTGGCAAAAGAAACAGTATAGAGATGGGCCAAATGCATGAAAGAAGAAAAAATTATTCCTTGATCCATCGGGAGAAAAAGATGAAGGGGTACGACGGATGACAGAAGGGAATCGTTGAACGCAAAATTTAAGAGGCATTTCCCTTGCTCCGCTGCTAACCCACTTGCTATGCAGTGAACTTCTTTAAGGTACAAGATAATGACGTACACTAGGCTGCTGGTTGTGATTTCTATCATTAAACAAAAAAAAGGAAAATATGATGGGATTGGACATACCATATCTTTTCTATGAGACTAAGGTGGCATGATACAGAAGGCAGATCGTAAGCCGCAAGGACCACCACCGCCACTAGTGAGGACAAAAACACATGCACCACCATGATCTACCACTCTTACAATTGACGACTTACTACCATTCAATTTCTCCAGGCCAGTCTTTTGAATCTTCAATACTATCCTGGCCAATCAGAGAATTATTTGGCCAGTCAGGAATCTGAAACAAATTATTCTACTCAATGAAAGGACACAACAAAGAGTAGAGCAGCCAACTTGTTACGACCGCATACAGATTTCTACAAATAAAAATGTGTCACGACCTCGTTAATAAACCAATCAAGATAAGAGGCAGGATCTAACTGTTGACATGAGCACTTAATAGACCTCAGCATCTTTACTTGTCTCAGACCAAATAGAGCTAAAAGAACAGGCACTTAAATTCCACATACTACCAAACAAAAAAACTTCTCTTCGCCAAGACATTGCAGCACGAACTGAGAGCAAGGGAAGAGTTCAATTAGCGGCTCTTGAACTCCTCTAGTAGCAAACCAAAGCCTTTTTATCAGTTTGATGTTTTAAGTCCTAATGATTTACATTCTCGGAAAGCATTGCTCATCTTTTGTTTGGATTTAAATCGTAGACTCCAAATAAAAAGGATGAAGCAAAGCAAGACCAATACAGATTGCTTAATCATAATCTTCCACTCTCTAATGAGGTAAACTATCTTTTAAGATTCAAATTCCAAATGAACCTCGAGTACCAATAAGAATAGCCATTAAGCTCAACTAAACATTGAGCAATAACAAAGAACATGTCAAGGACGGGAAGAAAATCAAATGAATGATTAGATAATAGGGTCAAACCTTGGTACATCAACGTCTTTGTCTAGGCTTGCAACGAAATTCAGCTAGGAGTGCAATATGATCAGAGGACCACTCTGGAGAAGGAAGTGCTGTATCTTTTCTTAAACTTTCTTCGTCCAGGAGTTCCAATAAGGACTCCACAGTCAAAGAGTCGGCTGTAAATTTCGATTCCAACTATGGAGTTATGACTAATATTTGCAGTAATAGAAATGAGAGCGAATTCAAAATATGCAGATGAAAAAATATAAGCAGGGACTCTTACCCGTGTAATATATGTAATCGAGAGTACCAATAAAATCCCTAGTGCAATTTGTAAATAATGGCTCGTTGATTAGAGGGTCCATCTTCCTCCTCTGCTGATCCACACCAAGACCAACTCCCCTCACAAAAGATGAGTAAGCACTAACCTGCAAGAACATCTTCCAGTCTTACAACAGCAAGCTATAGCTGATATAACCCACAGGGCCATGTTTGAGGGTTAACCCAACTCTTCAATATTCTATAAACCTTTTCATTCAAAACAACATTGATCGTATTCGAGAGCCATTCTTTAATACATACTATTTCAACTCTTCTGGACTATATCGTAATCCACTTTAAGATGTATAGTTCTCGGAAAACAAATCTATCCATTTGAAATCTCACTTATCGAAAACTGGCAAATATTTTTCTTATGCGAGTGCAAAGAGAGAAATACATCCATAAGGGGGGTACAACATATAAGAGAACCAGACAATATCAAGGCAGACGTTACCAGTAGTAGCTGATGCGTCAGCTTGCTGTGAGGACGTAAAATACCAAGAGGGTCCACGACTATATCAGGATGTGTTGGTTCCACCTTTCCACTGGCAAGAAGAGCATGAGGAGCACTGGCAACAAAATACAATCAGACATGTTAAACTGTAAGAAACAAACGAATATGTTGCATCAACTAACAAGGGCTAAAGTTCACTAAGAAGAACAGACTGACCTTCCAGGTAGTGAATTGAAATCTCCACAAACTAGCATAGGAATGTCAGCACTTGCAGCTATCTTCTCTAACCCCTTAAGAAGAGTAAGAACCTGATTTGACAAAAAGCAAACCATTGTATTTGATCATATTCAGACCAATATGAATATACTTCGAAATTATCCAATCATGACGGGTATTTGATCAAAGGCAAGCAGCCAACCTGCCAAAGCTTAACATCCTTTAGATCTTGGTGGACATTTACATGGGTATTTGCCTGCATTTGACATACAGTAACAGGAGATGGTCACAGAACAATCATCAGTGGGTGCCATAGAATTACAATTTGTTCCAGAACAGATAGGAGAAATGAAAGCACAAATGCATTGTTCCGAACGGAAAATATAATATCTTTGAGAAAAAAGCCAAGCGATATCATACTAGTATGAGAAGTAATGATGCAAAAGGTCCAATGTATACAGTACTGTGCAACGATCGAAGACCCTTTAGCAAGGAAATGAACCAAGATACAAGATAAACAAGGGCATGGTACACTGCTAATAAACCTACTAGCCAGACAAAATCACTTACAACACATAGAAGCTGCCGCTTGCCAGGAGCATCAGCCCCCTGGTTGCTGAACTTGGCCTCCAGTACCACAATTAGTGCAACATTATCCTAGGAGCAGAAAGATCTAACATGAGGCTACCATGGGAACATACAGGATAGTACAGCAGTACATATCACAAAGATCAATGAAATTCTAAATTTTTTGGTGCACCTTAACCAATCGATTCAAAGCAGTCTTCCTCTGGGCACTTGGAACCAAAGCTTCAGTCAATGACTGAGCAGCCTTGTTGAACTCAACCTAACAAAGACACAAGGTCCTGTAAAGATATGAACGGGATCAAAAGTAAAAGACCACATATAAAGCACTTACGGACCTCATATTTTTTGACATGCGAGAATCTATCTCTACGAAAGAAAGTTGCACAACCATCTATAGTATTAGGGTTTCCTGTGTAGACCTGAAAGAGCAGTGCATACATTAGAGAATTGTCCACTGCCAAACAACAATAAAAGAAATATCAAAATAAGAAACCAAATCAAAAGAAACCTCATTCGTCTTCCTCTTGTACAAGGCTTGGTAACCATGCTTATCCAGCTCTGGCGCAAAGAACTCCTCAAAATGATCATTTTGCACCTGAGAGCGTGAAAAAGAGTAGCCTTAAGCCTACAATGAATGCATCAATGACAATGATTGGAGGCCAAGTGTAATTTTAAACAACAAATTGAGCCAATTTATTTTAACACTAACAGCTTCCTATAAGAAAATTCAAGCTTCTGTATTGTATCATTAATTTCTTTAGTCGGTTCAATGTAAAAAATTGTACTTTTCCTGCCCTTCTGCAATTGCGAGGACCACCATAACTATACAAGCATGCCCAATCGGTAGAAATTCGTATATCAAATAAGTGAATAACAATAAGCACTCCAGCCCAGTTCAAATGCATTCATCCAAAAAGAAAAAGAGAGCTACTTCCAACCACTAAAGTCATCTCAGATCATCTCACGAGAATCTAAGAGTAACTGCCGTAGAATCGCCAAGATTTCAGATGCCAGCCAGGAGGAACAAATGAAGGCACCAAGACAATAAACTGTTGTAAGTGCCAGAGTACACAAGATTTCCCCCCCCCCCCCCCCCCCCCCCCGGATGTTTTAGTAGTCAACCAGCAGGGACAATTCAATTCCTACTTTAAAAATCATAGTTTTTCTACAGCAGCACTACTCATCCCATTCCAAAAAAGAAGCAACTTTGCCAGCACACATCCCCTACTGTGACTTAAGTGAGGGGTTTTATTTTTCCAGGTACATAATTAAATAGCTGAAAACCATATATCTAATGACATAAACATAACTATTCTGCATTACCTCCTGGAGACAAACAATGTCTGCTCGATATCCAACAATTTCTCGAAGCAAATTCTGGCGGCGATAGGCCCACGACAGGGCCCATGATGGGCAATAAGCATACGACTCACTTGTAGCGTAGGCATCTGCCAAAATATTATATGAGAGTACAGTGAAAGTTCCAGTTGATGAGATACGACCATCAGCATCTAAATGGGCAATCACATCAGCCCCATTTACAGGGACCAAGCGACGTGGTGGAGGGGAGGGGGCTGGAATAACACGGGAAGTCATAAGAGTGCTTGGATGTCCCACGGTTTGTTTAGTTTCAGCATCGACCACAACACACTCAAACTTAAGAACGTGCCCAATATCATCAGCTGATGGTGTGTACGTTTTTGATCGCCCCACTTCAAACCAAGTTTCACCACCATTCCTTTGTGTCACTGTGGTAGGATACAAAGGTGTAGATCCATTTATCAAGCTAGCACTTGATGCAGAAGTGGGTAAAGTTGAATTAATAACCCCAGATCCTGTGCTATTGAAACGTCCAAATAACTCTTCTTCCTCATTTCCATTCTCATTTACAGCACTTGCTGCACGATCATGAAGAACACGATGATGCTGCCAGGCATCTGAGAAGCATTTGGGAGAGCAATGATAACTTTTGGCAGCTGGTATTTTTGCCTTAACACAGCCGAGGCACTGCAGTGTAGCTTGTTCTGATGGATGTATACTACATACAGCTACCTTCTTATCACTTTGTATCCGGTACCTACAAAATAGGTTAGGAAGACATCAAATAAGGTATCACTTTCAGGAGAGAAGGGAAACTATTCCGTGGAGATTCGACCTGCCCTGAAGATCCTTTAACATAGAGTGCGATGTGCAAACCAAATCACTTTTTCATGTATTTCTTAAATATTCATCAATTGTTGTTCACAAATTCAAAACACAGATCAAACCTTTTCACACTGACCATTTACCAGTCCGTCACCTCCTCAAAAGAAACGGTTTATGGATAAAAATGCCGCCAATATAATAGGAAGCACGAGGAACAACACCTATCTGCACTTAGTTTCCTCATCAGAAGTTGTAACAAGCTTTCACCAACCCAGCATAGCATTTAAGACCAGTGGGTACAGGAGAAAAGCAGAAGGGAAGAGGCAAAAAGGCTACCAGAAGAAACTGAAAACAGAAATCATTAACTCCTCGTTCAAAACTTACGCAACATGATCCTTTTACATTCTTGATCCCCATCATAACACAAGTGCCTAGCAACTAGCTAACTCTACGCACTTGAAATCCCAGGACTAAGAAATCCCAGGAAACAATGACGACATCTCCCCTAGCACAACACGGCTAAACAATCCTCGGAAGAAGCAAACTTTCGGCCAAAAAAAAGAGCAGAAACATAGCCCCATGTAGTCAAACGCGATCCAGAACACAGTAAAGTACTAAAAAAACAACAGCAACACTAACCACTTGTATCTCAAGAAATGACCATCGAGGGGAGACGACTCGGGAACATCTTCGGGGTAAAGGGTCTTGTCCGGTCGCCGCAATAGGACGTACGGCGTTAGCTCACAGCCTACAATGGGGATATCCGACGGGAGGTGTACACGCAGCACGCTCAGCATGCTTTTACCTCTCTCGTTTTGGCCTAATCTTCTTCTTCTTCTTCACTCTTCTCTTTCCTCCCCGCTCGGTAACTCCTCCGCCTCCTCAAAATCGGAACAGCAAAATCCTGGTCGAATTAACAGTGGGCGGATATTTGGCGGAGGATCCGCCATTTACTAGACCCCAATACCCGCCAGCCTTGCCCAGTTCTCAATTAAAACACCGTATGTAAGAAGAAGCAAACCCTAGGTATCACAAATTCTACCAGCGCCCAAAAATAAATTAATCAATCAAATTCCCCCCCACTGCAGATCTCGAAGAATAGATTCCAGCAAAAAGCACACTGCAGAATACTTGGAGAACCAATAGGGAATCGAGATGATCGATTCGGCCAGAAATGATTGCGCGAGAGTTAATGAGTGGAGTGGGGAAAAGGGCAGAGACGGATTTTAGGGTTTTACAGAAGGAAAAGGTTGGGTGGGAAGGGAAGTGAGGGAGACGAAGGAAGAGGGAGCCTCGAGAGAGAGAGCAGAAGTCAGACGTGGAAGAGCTGAAAGGAGGGCTTGGCTTTGGGTTGGGTTGATGAAGTCGAAGGTTTGGGCCGAGGCCGGGGCTTCGGTTTGGTGGCTGGCTCGTCTCAGTCTGTGCTTTCGATGGCGCAGTCGGCGGCTAAATAAAATAACTGGGAAATTACTAAAAATCAACGTCCTTACCTGACCTGAAGCTGAAAGTTCTTTGGGGGCGGATTTACTTCTCATTTCGGAATTCGGATGACTGCGTCTGCACCTCGATCGATCCGATTTGAATTTAGTTCATTAGTTTCATCCTGATATTAATTGGATCAATCATGTCATATATGATATATCGGATATGTATCACAATCAAGGTTCTAAAAGGCGTTAGGCGTAAGGCAGGCGCTCGGGATGAGTTAGCTTGGTTACTAAATTTCTAGTAGCCACCTTGACTACATCAATATCCACCATCCATTTTTATCTTTTTCCTATTTTTATAATCTCACGATTATGATTGCTCAAGGATAATTTTGGAAACAAAAAATAAACCACACTGGATTATTCTATATATACACAAACCCTAATTCTACCCTCCTCCCACCCAACCCACCGCCTCCCACCATCTATTCTTCTCGGCGGTGCCGCTGTCCCTCCCTGCCCCTCTCCTCACCACCTACCCCACCGGCGGCACCCTCCCCCACTCCATCCCTCCACCCCTCCCATCCCCTCACCACCCCACGTCCCCACCCGGCAGTCCCCCCTCCATCCCTCCACCTCACCCACTAGCCATTCCCCTCACCATCCCATCTCAATCGCGTCTCCAATCGCGTCTCCACTAGCCATTCCCCAGGACAACCAAAGTGAAGTGTCTGAGTGATGCTGGCCTGTTTCTTGATTCGTAAGTTTCTAACCTTTCCTTCTAATGAATGTTTTGCTTTCCCTTCTCTGCCTCATGCTCAAGTCGTTCAAGGACTGAGATTTCCTGTTACTAATTTGCTTAGTTGGTCTCTGCAATTGGAAGGAGGAATTCCATTGGAATGGTATGTTTTTTTTTAAATGGTAGTCATTTTTTTAGTAGTGATTTATTTTAAATGGTAGTCATTTTTTTCGTAGTGGTAGTGTTATTGTCGTATTGGTATAGTTTTTGTCGCATTGGTATTATTTTTGTCGCATTGGTATTGATTTTGTCGCATTGGTATTGATTTTGTTACATTGGTATTGATTTTGTCGCATTGGTAGTGATTAAATCTGCAATTGTATTGATGTTTTGTGAAATGGTAGTGTTTTTATTTCTTGAATGGTATTGATGTTTTGTGAAATGGTAGTGTTTTTATTTCTTGAATGGTAGTTTTCGTGTAATGGTATAAATTTAATTCTGCAATGGTAGTTTTCGTGTAATGGTATAGATTTATTTCTGCAATGGTATTGATATTTTTCAAAGTGGTAGTGTTTGTCTAATGGATTGGTACTGATTTCGTTTTTTTTTTTTTTTTTTTTGCAGAAAGATTGAAAAAAATATGGAAAGGAAATCTGGCTGGAGATTACGGAAGTGAGAGAAAGAGAGATTTTTAGTTAATATATTTTTGTAACTACCTTAAATGTAATTTATTAAAAAATTAATTAATATAATTTATTTTTCCATACCCAATTTACCCTTAGTAACCAGGTGATTACTACTTTGTAGGAATCACCGTAACCTGTCCCCAGGCGCTCGGCTCCTGACGTGTGCCTTGCCCGATTAGGCGTAGCCTAGACGCGCCTAGGCGTTCAGAGCATAAATAGAAAAATTCTCAAATATTTACTGTTTTCAGGAATAATTCATATAATCCAAGTGCATATAAAATTAGAAATGTCTAGTTCTTAACAGTAGACACTTAACATAACAAATAACAAGCAAATAGTGACCAATCGTCTGCTAATAGGTGCTTATAGAGGCAAGAAGCTTGTGCTACGTACCGAGGAGAAGGGAGCAGCAATTGACGAGTTTCGACTTTATTTCCCACTATAGCAGCGGAGCGGTGTGAAGGCGAGAAGAGTGATCGATGACTTTCTCTTGCGGCAGCAGAGAGCAGCAAATGGGGCGAGAGCTAGGACGGCAGGCGGTAGTAGATGGGGCGAGAGCGGCAGGCGGCAGCAGATGTTACTTCCCGTGTTTCTGATTTTCTAGGGCAAGAGGCAAGTTTATGATTTTCTAGGAAAAAACGAAGAGTATTGGGTTTAACCGCCTAAGCTCGCCCAGGAACGCCTAGGCACGCCTTCTCTCCACTAGGCGCAAACTAAGCGCTATTCCTACCTACTAAGCGCTACCAGCGCCTTTTACAACGCCTATGGCCAAGTCAAGGCGATCCTCCACCGCCTAGCGCCTAATTGAGCCTAGGCGCGCCTTCTTGAACCCTGATCACAATAGTTTGTCCGCAAAACGTTCTTTTTTTTATCTAAACAAAACATACTATTTATTGAGGACCGGAAGTTTGGTATTGATTTTTATATATCAAATGACAAATAGCCTACCAAATTTATCACTATTTAGTGTTATAAAATATCAAATAATTTTTAGGGATTGTGATTGGGCAGATTTTGGAGTGCTATTTGATGTTTGGGATTACGAGATTGGGATATGTATATGTCAAAATATCGATAAAAAAAAAATCAAACCCGAATAATTTCCCTAAAAAAACATCAAACACGGATGACTCTAAATTAGACACCTTTAGTTTGGATTTCTCTTTTTTAGTTAAAGACCCATAACACTTTAGTTTGGCCAACACAAAGAGATAAGTGATATAGAACCACAATTGATAATAGATAATAAAGATTCATATACTATATTCACAAACATTCATAGATATATCCTAAAAGTAGGGTTCATCTCACCCAAGTGATGAGAAGTTTCGCTCATGATGGTGGAGAGAAAACAAAGAGAAACAGACCTTCATTTAGGAAATCTTCTCCTTCTTCTTCTTTTTTGTCCAAATCTTCGATCCTCTTGATGAGAATTCAAGTACGAAGCTCTCCCGAAAAATGCTCTCAATTGATCATCCCTCATTATAAACTCTAAAACTCATTTGCTATCACTTTCACTTTCTCTCTCCAAAATTCTATCTAAATTTGAAAGTGTAAGGTCCCTTGAAAAATACCCTATCTCCTATGTATACTCGTTGAAATAGGTGTTGCTCCCATGACATGCAATAAGCGCTGCTCCCATGACATGTAAAGTTACGGTTGTGAAGTTTAAAATGATGCAAGTGTGGGAAATACACTATTTGCAGTATTTTGTTAATTCGTATTATCGTCGGTTTTTATGATTTAGGGTATTATTTGGGGTATTCGGGATTAAACAGGGAGTTGATTGTTATGTTTAATTAGTTGGGTAGTCAATAGAGATTGGGCAGATTATATAATCTGTACTAGGGCATTATTTTCATTAAGCAGAAAGTTAATTAAACTCCTAAACCTAAACTCTCTCTCTCTCGTCTTCCCTCACCTGCGCCGACTTCCTCCCCTCTTCTTTCCCAAAGGCTGCGGCAGCAGCACCCAAATTCCCTCTCCCTTGTTCTCAAAATTCCCAATTCCCAATCCCTAGTTAGATCAATCCCTAATTGATCTAGCTAATTTCCCCAATCCCGATCACGTTAGAAATCTTGTTTCTAACATCTGGTATCAGAGCCTGGCTCGAGAGTGAGTTCCTCTGAACTCTTGAACCAGGGAAGGCAACGATGGTAACGAAGAAATCGATGAAGGCGGCGGAGAAGGCAACGCAGGCAGCCGAGAGGAGCACCGAGACGGGCGATGTTGGTCTCGACGGGGTGGTGATGGAGGACGTCACCGAGCTGGAGGCGGTGAAAATGGTAGTGCACGAGCACTCTGATGCGCTGGCTCGGCTCGAAGAAGGCCTGGCAAAAGTGCAGGCTGACGCGAAGGAGGATGCTGATGATCTGAGACAGAGGCTGGAGGACCTGATGCGGGCGATTGCCTCGCTGCAGGCAAAGGGGAGCGGATCAGGGGGAGCGCCGATTACGGCTGAGCCGACGATAGAAGGAGGCGGCGGCCAGGGGGCGGCAGCGGCGGCGGCGACCGCTGCTGGGGGGCGGCTGGCGGCGGGACGACCGAGGTGACGGCGTCGGCGGCGCAGGCGCTCGCTGCGGCCGGGGGTGGTGGTGTGGCCGGCGGCGGCTCAGGCCGACGCGCCGATCACGGCGGCCGAGGGAAAACAGGGCGGCGGACACCGGGCCGGGCCGGGCTGATCGAACTGCGGTAGGGTTGGGCTCGGGCCTGTTGCCGACACCCACGGCCCAAGAAATTGCGGCCCGAAAAGGAAAGGCTAAGATGCCTGGGTATGACACAGACGGGCCTCCTATGAATAGTGGGCCGGGACCGTTGGGCCACTACACGAAGGTCCATAACGGGCTGGGATGGTTGGATCTGGAAGATGGGCCAGAGTATGACAAACTGAGCCTGGCGGGTCAGCAGGCCCAGTGGGCTGAACAGGAGATGGACCAGAAGGGGCCCGATGGGCCGAGCAGGGCCGCCGACCAGATGGGGCCAGGAGGGTCGGCTCATATGGGGCGGACCGCATCGGAAGGGGCCAGGGCGGGTCGGACCGATACTGGTCGAGCCGGGATCGGGCGGACTGACGCTGACCGAACCGAGTTAAGCCGACCAGATCGAGTCGGGTTGGAATGGGTCGAACCGGACATCGGCCGAGTCTGACTGCTCAGCCGATCAGAAGGATGGACAGCAGGGGGCCAGTAGGCTGTGAGGGCCCGTACGAGACTCCTCACGCTCCAGGAGGGTACCCGAACCTACCGGGCAGCTACCCGGGTGATTATGGGCACGGGAACCCAGGCCAGATGCAGTGCCCTTCGCTGGGACAGCCGTGGAGGACCCCAAAAAATGACAGGTATGGGTCTCACTATCTGAATTATGAAGGAATGGATGGAGTAGTTTTTCGAGCTAAGCCTCCTACCATTGAGTTTCCCAAATTCAATCGGCAAGAGGATGCAGGCCTTTGGTTGTATGCAGTTGAGAGGTGGTTTAAGAACCACCCAATTCCGGAGGAGAGGAAGGCCTATCTGACATCTTTCTATTTGGAGGGAGATGCGCTCCAGTGGTGGGAGTGGATGGAGAGATCCTACGCAGCCGCAACAACTTTGATCACCTGGCCCATGTTTTAGGAAGAGCTCCGCTATCAGTTTGGGAAGTCAGATGGGTGGGCCCCTGAACAGTTGGCGAAGCTGAAGCAGACCGGCACGGTGGCTGAGTACCGTGCGGAGTTCTTCAAGTTGGGGAACCAGTGTAAAGGAGTCTCGGAGGACACCTTAGTGGGGCTGTGTATGGCGGGTCTCAAGCCCGAGATAGCAGCGGCAGTCAGAGTGTTTGAGCCCGATTCTGTGAAAACTGCTTTTCGTCTTGCAGGTCATAAGGAGTAAGAACTGGCTAGCTGGCGGAGCACCATTGGTCGCTTCTCGAAGCCAAGTGGAGGAGGAGGAAGCAGCGGGACTAGTGGCGGACAGGAGGTGCGCCAGTGGGAGGCTCGGTTGGGGTCAACATGGGCAGTGGGGGCCCTGCTCCGGTGGCAAGGATGAGACCGCGGGCCATACCAAAGGGGTTCGTGCGATTGACACCGGCCGAAATTGATCAGAAGAGGCGGGAGGGCAAGTGCTTCAACTGTGATGGCCGGTTTACCATCGGTCATCAATGCCCGAAGCCGGATTTGATGATGTTAGTCGGGCGCTGGGAAGATGAAGCAGAAGATGAGGCCGAGGACGTCGGAAATGGCGAGGAAGAGACCTAGTGAGCTGGAGGAACAACCTTGAGGACAAGGTTGTTTTTCGAAGGAAGCGGGGATGTGGGAAATACATTATTGGCAGTATTTTGTTAATTCGTATTATCGTCGGTTTTTATGATTTAGGGTATTATTTGGGGTATTCGGGATTAAACAGGGAGTTGATTGTTATGTTTAATTAGTTGGGTAGTCAATAGAGATTGGGCAGATTATATAATCTGTACTAGGGCATTATTTTCATTAAGCAGAAAGTTAATTAAACTCCTAAACCTAAACTCTCTCTCTCTTCTTCCCTCACCTGCGCCGACTTCCTCCCCTCTTCTTTCCCAAAGGCTGCGGCAGCAGCACCCAAATTCCCTCTCCCTTGTTCTCAAAATTCCCAATTCCCAATCCCTAGTTAGATCAATCCCTAATTGATCTAGCTAATTTCCCCAATCCCGATCACGTTAGAAATCTTGTTTTTAACAGCAAGCCTCAAATATGATCCAAACACAGTCCCCTTGAAGCTCAAAGAAGCCATGATGACAAGAGGAGAAGGAATTCTGGAAACTGTGAAAATGATCAAGTATAAAGCCAGTTTAGGCACCACTTTGGGAGCTTACTCTTTCGACTTGAAGGACATTCAAGTGAATCTAAGAGTTAAAAATGGAAGTCCAAGATTGTTAAAGAGTGTGAAGGAATCGGTTGAGCTTGACTGAGTTTGGACGCCTTCGAACGAAGAGCCTAAAGTTGGTATGGAAGCAATTTTGCTTACTTGCTGCATGAAGCTAACTTCTTAGGCAGTAAGCAACCGAGTTGGATGTCGAGTTGGAGAAGGGTTTTTTAAGGCTTTTTTCGTGTTTGTTTTCCTTATTTGAGTTGTAGTTTAGTAGTCTTTCCTTCTTAGTATAGGTTGGTGGTTTCAAAGCCTATAAAAGGCTTGTTAAGTCTTTGTAATACATCGAACAATTTTTGAATCAAAGTTTTACCTTGTTCATTGGATTTGTTGCTCGTGAGTTGGCTTTAGTAATTGGTGGATTCCAGTTACTTGAGTTCTTCTCTGTATCAATCATGAGTCAAGCATGAGTACAATATGATGAAATTGGCATACTATGAGTCAAGCATGAGTACAATATGATGAAATTGGCATAAAACAACTAAAAAAATGGGGCATGAAATATGACTAATTTAGCGTTATCAATATGTCTTCCTCGACTAAGCATACATAAGATAAAATAACACAACAATAATTAACCAAATTGGATACAAAACTTAACATAAGGGCATGTTTGCTAACGCCATCATAGTGTTTTTACTTTTTTTACAGGAAATATAATAGACAGAAATGTTAAACTGTGTCATTTCCCTAATTCCAATCAGCTGAAAGTAATTGGCGGCCTACATGTAATTGAAGCACTACTTCATTCAATTCAACTGTGGACTTTGAAACAGTTAAGGTAGGGGAACAGGCCAAGCAATTCATCACGGCTCCTCCTCTGCAAGTGAATGCCAATCAACAAACCGAAGTTAAACCGCAGTACAAATAGGTCTGCACTAAGAGACTTGAACCAACATATGATTAAACTAATGCAACCAACTAGCTAATACTGAGTAAGATCACATCCCCAACACAAAAAAGAAATGGCAAGCTCTTCAGGGAATGGAGTTGGGTTACAGAATGGATGACAGTACTCGAACCCATCTGCGAACCCAGGGAGAGGCAAATGCACTAGATTGAGCGCTGGATTTTCATATACATCTAGTAGACAAACATCCTCACATTCGAGTAGATAGATCATCATTCACAATTTATGGCAGACGAGATTTGTATAACTGGGTGCACGAGGCTGTAAAAAGCTTTCGAGAACAGCGTACCTTTATGCCAATGCATCCGTTTACATCGAGGGTTGTAAGTGTGTTTGAACAGCAACTTGAAAGAACTTCCAGGCACTTATCAGTTACACCAATTATTCCAAACAAGCTGCAACCAAATTTCACCACAGGTAAACATAGAGAAGACAAAATTGAGTAGATATCAGGCAACAGCCAGGAGAAAAAAAAGGTACATTTGACCAAAATGTTAAACATCAGTTGGTCCCAAGTTAAACATCAATTTTCTGATCTCAATATACCTAAGGAACTCCAATGATCTGCAACCTTTGGCAACAGCTATGACCCCAACATCAGTGATACGTACGCACCTATTTAAGACAAAAAGGGTTTCCTTATGCGTCTATCACTCTATCGTCATCTCAAGAACCAGTAGTTCTTTTCAAAAGGATAATAATTTACACCAGTACTGACCATGTCAAGTTGAGAGAGACAAGGTCTTTGCACTTTGCTATACAAGTAAGGCCTTCATCTGACAGATGCTGAGAAACAAACATGTCAACTCTTCAACCGAGACAAATTAACTGCAGAAGCTTGATAAGCACAAGCTTTTGCTTTTCTCACCTGTGAACCACATAAGTCTAGAAATCTCAAATGGGGTAGATTCGATATGGTCCTGTATGCTTTATCTGTGAAGCTGAAAAGAAAGAGGAGATATAAATTAAGAGCCAAATAAAAATTACCAAGTCTAGGTGCAGACGGTGTGTTATACCTGGAAAGTGCATAAAGATTTAAAGTTTGTAATAATGAGCACTTGAGTAGTATCTGTTGCAGGCCAACGTCAGTCAGCTTGATGCACCTAGAACAATACAAGAGCAGCAGGAAAGTTGTAATTGTATTTATGTTTCCGTAATAACTAATAAGTACTTCCTAGGCATAAATGCTAATTATAATTTCGGAGCATCTGATTTAGTTAAGCCTGAAAACACAGATATCAAGTGATTGGACAACTATATCAGACGCTGAACAAGCAAAACCATCTGCGCACCTTGTGAGGTTCAATGACGTTAACTCTGGATAATTGTTGGCAATTAACTGCATACTTTTGTCTGATACATTCTGTCATTGATACAACAAAGCACATCATGTTAAAAACATAAAAGTTAAATGACTGTCAAGCAGGTCAGCAACAGGTACTACTTGTAAAAGATGTTGCAACATTTCTAACAATTCTGAGAGCATTCATCAGATGACTTAGCACGCTTCATTCAATCCCTGACTTCTGAACCCCTAAATTTTCAGCAATACACCGACAACTTAAGAGTAGATAACAACAAAAAGTCTAAATGACTATGCTTTGCCCTCAGAAGGCAATTTAGCTTGGGTTAAAGTACATACATCTGAGGTTCTTTTCATTCTGGAAGCCATCAGATGACAAAGTAGAGAGAAAAGATAAACAGAGGTAGAGTAGAGACACAAGGCATCTCACAACAATGGTGTTCACGCCGCAATATAACTCATCCAATCAACATACCATCAAAAAGGAAGGGGATGCAATGAGACCATGTACCTTGCATCCACTCAAGTTGAGATCACTTATGTGTTTGCAGTTCTCCACCAAATGATTGATGCCCACATCTGTCACCCTAGAGTCCAATCCACATGCATACCAAAACCAAAATAAGGACGGAAATCAGCTCCTCTCAACCCAAGACGCACTGCAGTAATAGTAGTTGAGCTACAAACTAATGAAAACTCCAATTACCTAACGTTCCAATAAATAGAGAAGATCTTTAGCTTACGGCAACAGCTCGTTATAGCTTCTATTCCTTTATCAGAGATCTTCTGGCAGCCATTTAGGTTCAAACGCTCCAAGTTTTGGAGAGTGCCATGAAACTGAATGCATTAAAACAAAATGAATCAAGATCATCACCCAGCAACAGCAATTAATCAAACAGTTACCAAACACGAATCCAAAATCACCTCGGTTCGAAGGACTTCAAGATGCCTATCTTCAACATCTTGAGCGAATTCTAGGTTTATCTCCTTCAAATGATGATATCTCGGCTGCAAAGACATCAAACAAAATCACAACACTAAAACCACCAAACATCCCTGCCCCAAATTAGAGCTGCTCCACAATTTTCCCTCACCAGAGAAAGAGCGGCAATGAGGCGCTCGCCAGCCTTGTTCTTCTCCCGGAAGTCGAGAACCTAAAACCGCAACAAAAAACAGCGACGATTGGAAATGATTTCCTCGCAGCCAAATGCAGGAAATAGTACTCCGCCGACGTTCTATCGGTAAATCGAAAATCGCCTGAGCTGGTGAGTTTAGTATCAATACCAGCCAAAGGGAAGAGTAGGAGACGAGAGCTCGGTGAATCCACGGGCTGACGAGGAGCAGCGAAACCAGGTCTCTCTGATGGAGCCTTGCCCCGACGATCTTCATCACTCTCGGAATCGTCTCTCTGCTCCACATCATCTTCTGTTGTTCGCCGTCTCCCATTTCGGCCACCGCCTTCTCTTCGATTCTCATACTACTAATTGCCGGAGCCGGTCTGCACGTCTCGAGGATTTTTCCTTCACTCACTCACTCACTCACTGACTCAGTCACGCTCGACTCGGGCCCTCTTTCCCCCTTTTTCCTAATTTTATTTACTATATATATTCAGCGAGTATACTAACTATACTACTATTTTTCTTGGGTTTTCATTTTCATGTACAAAAACATATTAAAAATTCGAACTTTCCCGGGAACCAAAACACCAACGAAGTGATAAAAAACGGAGGAAAGCTTATGAATGGAACAGTGATGAAGAAGAAGATGAAGAAATGCATATGCCTGGACTATTACCCTGTATGCCGCCGCCGGCAAAACCTAAACTAATTCATCTCTTGGATTACAACCATCACACTCTTTTCACCATTGATATAAGAGAGTGTAGATCCAGGCCAAGATCATTATAAAGCTAAACAGGCTAAAAGAGAGTGGATGAGTTGAAACTGTACAAGTCAAACAAAACCCAGGCAAGTTGCAGAAGCAGCCTCTCCACAAATCCCACATGTGTTAAAGCAATGTTACATCAGAATTGGGGTTACAAAAATGTACCATTTGTTCACTGTTTGTAGCCAGTAGGTGCATAATTGCGCAGGCGGTGGCAGTATTGCCGACAGACGTTGAATTGATTCTGCAGGTCCTGTGGGGTTTGGAAACTGTGAATTATTGTTGGAGCCACATGAACTTGACGGTGGTACTGGTGGTGGTGATCGTGGTCATGCTGCAAAAGCTCCTCATCGTTCATGAGTCATGACTTTGTTACAATACTACGAGAATGGTGTTCTGAAGTTTTGTTATTCTCTCAAGACTTGGATCTTCAATTGAGTTGCTCATAAAAATGGCACAAAAGGTACTTCTTTTATATACTAGATTGAGAATTATTAGCGGTTCTTTTATATAGGATTACGCGACGTATCTGTGATGCAGAACATAACAAAACTTACTATCGTGTCAAGGTTTAGCTGTGAATTAATTTCTTTAAATGGTATTCTTATTTTTGAAAATCACTTCTATTATCTTTAAGTAGCTTCGGTTTATACTTGTCATATATAATTACTTGTTACGAATATATTAGAATTACTAATTTACTATACAATTGTAACATTATTAATGGTTCTATTTATAAATCCATAATATTTATGTTTATAAATTACAATGCACCAATTCATTATTGGATTTTCGACGGTAATGATGAAAACCCGAACATCCCCACTTCAATCGATCCACCCACTGGAGTTCGCTTCAAGGCTCATCAATAACTTCAAAGGAAATTTAATCCCTAATTATCCCAACCACTTCCGATTACTCGAGGCGTCGTACAAAATCGTTATGTCATGCTAACATTTAGTTGCACATAATAACAATATAAACTATAGAGAGAAAAAAACTACAACATATTGATCGTTGTGCTCCACCAACATTATAGAGCACATGAAAAGAGAAGTCAAGGAATGACAAATAAAATGAAGAACATATATACATGGGAGATTATGGAGATAAGTAACAAAAAGATACATGGAAGGGTGTACATCCATCCCACGGTCAAAATTGTAATGAAGCTCTCCAAAAAAAAAAAAAAAAAAAAAAGGTGTGAGAGAAGATCTTTGGTGAAGTGGGCTAACAATTTCCGTTCCATATAGTAGTTTGGTTCAACACTACACCAAACTAACAGGCACAAATTCAGTTCCAGTCGGGGGGAATATCATCATAAGACTAATGGAAACCCACCCTGTTCAACTCCCAAAAAATAACAAACACTTCAAAAATACACAACTCGTCCATTGTTAGAGAACCCTAATAAAGGCCACTACTACAAAAGAGACCCAGAAATTTCTTTTTCATACTTGAGAAACGCCAAGCTCGAGGACATGTAAGGTCCCATGTACTTCCTCAAACAACAATCACGGCCACCTCAAGGATATTCTTCTTTCATCATCGGTTAATCCCAGGCACTGGTGACACCAGGACCCATTCCGCCGCCGCCGTAACCTCCAGACATACCACCATAACCACCACCACCACCACTGTTCCCTCCACCGTAATAATCTCCACCACCACCACCACCCCTGCTGAAGGACCCTCCTTCCCTCCTGATATCCCTAGATCCAAACCGCCCTCCTCCACCTCGTCGGTTCTTGCCTCCGCCGTAAGAGACCCGCGAAGCGTATCTGACGAGCCAGTTGGGAACTTCTTGGTTGGCTTCTTGCATCAACTCGACCAGGGATCTCGCCAACGAGATGTTGTGGTCGTTGAAGAAAGCCGTGGCCAGGCCAGATTTCCCAGCTCTTCCGGTACGGCCTATTCTGTGGACGTAATCATCAATGTCGTTGGGGAGGTCGAAGTTGACCACATGAGCCACGTGTGGTATGTCGAGGCCACGAGCTGCCACATCGGTTGCCACTAGGATCGGCGTCCTTCCACTCTTGAATGACCTCAGTGCAAGTTCTCTTTCCTTTAACAACAATAGTAACCATCACAAGTATTATCATCGAGTGCTTTATGTGAAACCCTAATGTAAGTGGTTTATCAACAGCTAAGGGAATTGAATCAACAAACCCATGGAGGGACCAATATGCACTAGGGAATCTGTATATAAACCTTTGAAGATTCAGAATAAACTAACTAACCTGCTGAGTTCTATCACCATGAATTGTTGTAGCAGGGAAGCCATTCTGGCACAACCAGTACTCCAAGGAATCAGCTCCCTTCTTAGTCTCCACAAACACTAATGTCAAGGATTGCTGAAGACACCAAAACAAAAAAGCCACTATAAACACATGCTCAAAGATCAGCAGGCTGGGAGGAACTTCATGATTTATATTACTCCATCCCTTCCTTAAAATGTTCTATCTCATCCACAGTATACTCATTTTGAACTCCATAAATCAACCCAACTTGAAGCATAGGGGATATGAGGTCAAGTTCAATCATTTAGGACCAAAACACGGGTAACACTGAGACAAAAAGAAATGATACAATACCTTGCCATTAGCTTCACTTTGTTTCTGCGCATGAAGAAGATCCATAAGATGGCTTCTCTTGTCAGCATCTTGAACATACTCAACTCTTTGGAGAATCAAATCAGTACTAGACCCAACCCTTCCAACAGCCAGGAATATGTAATTTGCCAGAAAGTCTGATGCAAGTCTCTGCATGTACACGTCCCAGAAGATATCAAGTTAGCAATTAAACTATCAGTAACAATTATCGGTGACACTAACAAGAAGGTCCTATGGCTTACTGAAGGAAGCCTAGTATCTATCACAAACAAGGAAACTGAAAAAACTCGCTCATCCAACAATGTGACTTGTGAATAGAATAGAGGACTTGACAAGACAACCTAATCAAGGAACTCCCTCAACAAATTTAAAATGTGTATTTCATACTCTGAAGGATCTTGACAGACTTGACCCAGAGCTTGAGACGCAATTGAGCTAACCTGTATTTCTTTAGGAAAAGTGGCACTGAAAAGCATTGTCTGTCTCCTCCCGGATGGGGGCATGTCCACTTGTTCCACGATCTTTCTGATCTGAGGCTCAAAACCCATATCCAGCATTCTATCAGCCTCATCAAGTGCCAAGTATTTGATCATTTGCAAGGACACCCTGGCCCTCTCAAGCAAGTCTACCAATCTTCCAGGAGTTGCTACAAGAATATCAACTCCTCTTTCAAGTTCTCTCAACTGGTAAACGAAAAGAGAAAAGTTAATGACCACAAATTGAAATCAAAATACCATTGTCAGAATAAAAAAAACATAAGTAGAATCACTTCTTTGGAATAGACTAGATACATAAAATAATAGAGTGCTAGTATAACCAATGTCATTTCAAACAGTAAAGGTAGTGAGACACCAAATCACCAAACCTTCTAAAAACGTACTCCATTGCTCTCAACGTAAAGTATTGGTTTAACGGATACATGTATAGTTTTTCATATATATAGGAACTAAACAGATGCCTTTCTGAACATCATGCAACAGATTGTAGCCTTTTAAGCCTTCGGTGCAACATACAATAACATAGGAGGAAAGAAAATCCAGAACAGGCAGGCTGCCAGTATAGAGTGTATAATAACTAGAACAACGACCGAACCTGTTGCGAAATTGGCGCCCCACCATAAGCAACAACAACTCTCACACCAGTTTGATAAGCAAACTTCCTGGCTTCATCATGTATCTGGAATTTAGAAACAAAATTCAGAATGAAAAGAGATTAACAATATTATAAGGAAAAAACTATCAATCGCAAGAGGAGATAAACATAGTAGCCTACAGAGCTTATCACACCTGAGAAGAGAGTTCTCTGGTAGGTGAGAGGATAAGAGCCAGCGGGAAAGCAGTTCTAGGAGCACGTGGTCTCTGTGGAAAATTGTCACGCATTATCCCATTGATGATTGGGAAGCAAAAGGCAGCAGTCTTTCCGGAACCAGTCTGAGCACAGGCCATCAAGTCACGCCCAGCAAGCAATATGGGGATTGCATGACGCTGAACTGGTGTTGGCCTCACATACTTGCATTTTCTTATGTTTGCATTTACAGCCTCACCCAAGTCTATCTCTGCAAAGGTATTTACAGGAGGAGGTACATTATCTCCACTTGCCTCCACAGGTATATCTTCATATGCATCAAAGTTAATTCCTGTTGTCTCTTGTCCACTGGATGCACACTCCGCATCTTCTTCTTCTTCACCAAATGGATTCACCTCACGGTCTCTGCCGCGTTCCCAACCACCCGTGTTACTATTCCAACCACCTGCATTTCTGCCGCCATACCCTGATCCTCCTCTACCCGGATCGGGTCTAGCACCCCCAGCCCAGCGGGGTGGTCCACCATAACCTACACGGTCATTAGCTGGTGCTGGTGCAGCAGAAGGCTGAGCTGCAGGATCAGCTGACGGTGGTCTGTTGCGAAGGTGGGGTGGAACATAGGCAGCACGACCAGTACGTGGGCCAGAATTGTTGTCAGATACAGAGCTACCAACAGAATCAGCCCATCTGTTTGTCATAATTGCTTACGAATATCAAATTGAGCAAACCTAACCCTAACAACTGAAGAAAGAAAACAAAAAATCCAAGCCTCTCCCAGAATCAAAAATTCCTCAGTCTTCGCCTATGTATTACTGCAGAACCAATCCTTGATAATCACAGCGCGAGCAACCTATTCCAAACATGAATCGAAAAGAAACTTCAATCAGAGAACAAAATCATCAGAGTAGAAAAAGAAGCCCGCAAGTTTAGCAGGAAGGAATTGCAGCTACGGAATCCCATTCAATCGTAAGCCTCATATACCAATCAGGAGGGTAAAAAAAGCAAAAAGATGCAGGAAACCCTTGAACTAGGATAACTCAGACCTCGGACGCCTGCAGAAACCGAGAGCTATAAACACGACGCAGTCAAGCAATATCACGCACACGCTTCTGGACGAGGCAATCCAGCAGCGAGAAACAAAGAGCAACAAAATCTCCCACAGAACAAATAACCGAATAAGAGGGAAATCGGGGGAAAATGAAGCGCCATTGCTCGCGACCCACAAACAAAAGGAAGAGAACAATCAAAAGAATCGAGCACTAATCCAATAGAACAACAACAAGATAAACACACGCGAGGGCATCGCGCGGGTACAGCCAGCAAAAGAGGATATCCGAATCGAACCCTCCGCATTCTTCTCGCCGCAGCAGCCAGTCATTCAAAGCATACCAAATGCGGGAAGGGGGAAAAAACACAGAAAAAATGGCGACAGATAGGAGAGGAGAAGAAGAAAACGATGCGAAGCGGAAGAATAGAAGATTTAGAGAGAGAGAGCGAGAGAGAAGGGGGGAGAGATTACAGAGAGAGAAGGAGTAGGCGAGAGAGGAGGAGAAGGGAAGGGCGGGGAGGAAAAACCTGAGCTGGTAAAATTCGATCGAGAATCCAGAAACGCGAAACCCTAGCTGTTTAGGGGGGATCGGACATATGAAGAGAACCCAAAACTATATCGGTTTGGTGCGGGAGAGAAAGGAGCGAGTGAGCAAAGAGAGGAAAGGAAACTTAAAAGGAGATATTTATGTTTGTTTGATATTTATAAAATTCTTTTCGCTTTCGTTTTGGAATGGGAGAGGAGAGGTTTAGCTTATGGCGTCTAGATTTACGTATCCCCTTACCTCCTCTCTTTGTTTTTCTTTTCTTTTCTTTTCTTTTCCTGTCCTCCGCTTTCTTTTTTCTTATTATTAATATCTGCCTTTTCCTCTCTAATTCTCAATTTCCAATTCCTTTTACCAAAAATAAGATTTACAGATAGCAAAAATATATGGTTTTCAAAAAATATAATATAAAATCGTCTCCGCCCGTGTTTTGGTTTTGATTTTCTTTTCTTTTTCTCCTAACTAACAATTGTTAGGTGACAATTAGTAAAAACTAAAAATATTTAGAGGAATAATAGTCTTTCAAAGGAAGGTAGAGTTAGATCCGAAAACCACTTCCCATTTTACAAAATGGCAGTGCTCCATTATTTGGTCTTTTATGCAATCAATTAACTTAATGGCTTGATTTTTTTCCCAACACAAATTGTTCGCAATTATGAAACAAAGTTATGTGCATGGAGAAACAAATAATTGTGCGAGATTAGGATAGAAGGATTGAAATTGATGCTCCCGTCGGAAGCTCTCGTGAATCCTCCCCCGGCGTCCAATCTCTCGCCGCCGGAGTGGGAAATGACAGAAGCTAGTCATCTCGTATCGACAGTGGAGACCTCGGCCACGACTCTCTCTGGTCTTTGTTCGCCAGCAGACATAGCCAACAATCACATACAAGGCGACTCTCTAAGGCGAGGCATCCCCTGTGGCTAAACCGATCACCCCATGGATGTTCGTGGGGGAGAATGGCCTCGTCCAGAGCTCCTTTAATGGGGAACAGAGTTAATAGTCTATGAAGGTCTTAAGTCCAAACTTTGCTCGCCGTGGAAGAAGACCTTAGTGGTCCGCCTCCTTGGCTGCAAGGTCACGTACGCTTATCTCTACTCCCAATTGAGATGGCTATGACGTCCGGGTGGTAAGCTGGAAATCATGGATCTGGATGATGACATTTTTTGACTTCCTTCGACAATGACCAAGATTATTTCAAGGCCATCATGGGTGGTGCTAGACCACTACCTAGTTCTCCATCAATGGTCGCCAACCTTCCGCGTGGGAGAAGCAATCCCAAGAATCGTCATAGCATGGGTCTGTTTCCCCCCACCTACCAGTTCACTTTTACCATAAGAAAGTCTTGTTTGCTCTCGGGAATCTGGTTGGGCGTACGATCAAACTTGATTACCATACTGAACACGACCACCAAGAAAAGTTTGCAAGAATCGCCATCGAGCTGGATATGTCCAAGCCATTGCGACCACGGGTTAGGCTGGATGGTTTTCTGGCAGAAGGTGGTCTACGACTACGAGAATCTACCCAATGCCTGTTTCGAGTTTGGGATCGTTGGTCACGCAGAAGGCGCGTGCCCTACTTTTCATAAGCAAGATCCATAACATACATGCAGTGCAAGCTTGGTTCCAAGTGGACAATTCTTTAAGTCCCAAGCCTTCCTCTTTTGAAGGTCTGACCATTCTATCTCATCCAATTTTTGTTTTACCTTCTTCACCTCCATGCCATAAAAATTTAGAGCCGAGAGTATGAACTTGCTTGAGATCCTTAGTGTGTTGAAAGAACATTGTGACAACACCTTTTGTCATATTATACCTAATATGACAAAAATGGTATCTAATATGACAAATTTGCCTCGTCATAATAGGCCGAATTTGTTGTAGTGTCATAAGGCTACCTTTTAACATTGAGGGTGGAATGGCAAATTGCAAACAGTTGTTGATTCATTAAATAACAGTGACAAGCACTATATGATGATAGTAAGAAGGTAGGGTGATAAAGTATTACCCTACCTCGTCCCCATTGTGAGCAAAAAAAAAAAATCACAGAGACCACAATTCACATTTATACCAAATTTTGTTATTTCACGCACATTTTTATTCAATTCAAGTAGCACATACGAAATCCCGTAACACCCGTCATCATAAATAGATAATTCCAATTTACAGAGTCGAAACATTTCATGAGATCGACTTTTATAGCACATTGAGATGATAAATTATTTCCTTGGTAGCCACTGACTAATAGTGACAAGTTTGCAAAAACAGCATTGGCAACAATGATGACTCCAGGATTCTGACTGCTTAGTGCAACTATATCCACAACATGTCCATACCCAATATTACGTTGGTAGTGGACCAATCCAACTGGAAAGACGAATACATCTCCCTTCTTAAGGACCTTGGTAATGTGGCAATTCTCGGGGTTTGACGTCACAAATCCAACTTCAAGAGTTCCTTCCATCACTGTGAGAATCTCGGTAGCATGAGGGTGAGTGTGGAGTGAGTTGATACCCCATGGATCATAGTCAATGCGAACAATTGAGATACCAAGAGTGTTATGGCCTGGAATTTGGGTAACAAAAACAGGAGTGACCCTAAAGCCCACTGCATTTGCCGTGCTGCCGGGAATATGAAGCCCACTGAAAGAAAAATCACTTGCTTGAACCATGGCTGGATCCTTATAAGCGAAACCATTCATTCTGGTGTTGGTGTTGCCATCTGCCACGCAAAAATCCTGAAGGTTGGCGGGTTCCGTGGTCAATGACAAAGTTGAACAAAGAGCAAGAGCTACAAAGTCCAGGAAAGCAACCCGATGTGCCATTGCGGTGTGTGGAATAATAACAAGGGAGTGTTGATGAAGGAAATAGAAATGGAGGTATGAAATTTTTTTTGCCATAGATATCCCCAAAGGGAACAGCAGATACGAAGTATATAACAATATACATGACCTTTGCAGGTCAAATCACAAATGAAAAATGAAAAGACCTTTGCAGGTCTGACAATATAGGACTTTCCTGCCACGATATGGGCTGCCCTATGATACCTGAAAGACATGGGCAATATCATGATTTTTCCCCTTAAAAGGATCAATATCATGAACTAACCATGCTGAAAATTGAAGCAGAGCAACAAACCCTTGTAATCTGGCATCAGTTCAACACAAAAGCCCGTAAAGGTTTGAGAAGGAGAGATGGCCAATGAAAGAGTGTTATGGCCCGGACCCGGTAGAGCTAGTGGGTCAAGGGTTAATGGGTCACCCGTCTTAGCCCGGTTTAGCCCGATTATATGGAAAGAGTTGTTATATTATTCTTATCTTGATAAATTATATCAAATCTCATCTAACATATGAGTTATAACATATAATATTCCACCAAAATAACATGTCGTACTTAGATCCAACATATAGTGAAAATTCACACACACTTATATAACATATATATTCAAATGTTCAACTTATAATTCCAAAGATGGAGTTAGGCGAACAGCTAAATCGGAAAATAGGCGTATTTCGCAAATCAAAGAAAAAAATGACACAATTTGATCTCCAACCCGGTACCTCGTAGCGGTCGACCCGGTGGGTGCGTGCGACCCATTTTTCTCACCGGGCCAGGGTCAAAGTGGGTCGACCTGCGTTGACAACCTTGATAAGGGGCAACGTATGCAATATGGAAATCCAGGTGGCATCTAATCTTTGACCCACCATCACGTTGTTCCATAGGGGTGAAGGACCTACTATCATGCTTCTCTCCGTCATTGAAAGAAGCACTTAGTTGGGTAGGCTCTTGATTTTGCAATTTGCACCTAGATCAAAGGTGTAAAAAAAGAGCTCTCCATGTGAGACATCCCATGTTTGACGTCTAACCTTAAAGACAAAAAAATAAAAGTGATATTGGGGGAGAGTACGGATTTCTATGCTTTATCATTTTCTTTTGTAATTTTTCTAGTTTCTTTGTTTTGTTTTCTGCGACAAAGTTATTTGTTGACTCACACTCTTTCTCAAATTTATCAACATTCGAGGTAACTTCGTTCTACCTTCCTTACTCCTTTGTTTGATCCAATGACGAATCTTTCCAATTTAACGAATGGGTTGGGGTTTGGTAGTCCGAACTCCTATGCTATTATATCTTAACTATGTTGATAAATTTACGAACTTTGGGTATTTTGTATGTTTGCAAATGTGCTAAAAGCTTGAAAATTTTTACTGCACTCGACACTCTCCTGTGCATGTTCATGCTCAACTTACTTTGAATTACTAGTCTCCATATTGATACGTGATCTAAAGAGGCTAGTGTAGTGGCTATGAAAGATGTCCTCGTCATGATACTAAAAAACACTGGATATGTCTAGATACAATACCTCTCACTATCCTTTGTGAAATTCTTAAACACTTCCAACGAGTCTCTTACTCTTAAAAGCTAAAGGGCTCGAATTATACCCTTTACAGATTCAAAAATCCTACCTAACAAAGCAATATAAAAGACGTTGTCGTTACAAATAAAGCTGAGGTAAAGCCACATGTGAAGCAATCACTCATCGAACAGAGGGAATAAGAACGATTCAACATACCATCGCTTCACGATTGTACGATGTTGCTTATCTAGTACAATCCCTCTCATAGTGAAGTGGCATTTGAGAATTGTGATTAGCGAGCACAGATAAAGCTTCTGACATCCCTCGTTTGTATTGCCTCTCCACACGGATCGAGGAAAGAAAGTTAAACAAATCTCTTATGTAAGTGCTAAGGTGCATAAATTGCTCTTACTTGATTAAAACAACAAAGTAAACCCACTTGTTCTACAAAAATACAAAAATTGGCATTCTATGTATAAAAGAGACAACATGAAACTCTACTTTTCAATTAAGGTAGAGATGTGCATAAACATATAAATATAACTACATAAAGTTTCATCCCAAATGTTAAGAGCTTATGATATAAGGAGATTGGTGAGATTGTCTTTATGAGATATGTACCTCATTGATATGGTTCGGTTCTCTAAATGTGAGGGTTGACCTTGTAAGCTGTTTTTTATCTACTACCTACTAGGGCTGGCTATTTGGTCCGGACTGTTTGGTTTTCCCCGAAACCGGACCGTATAACCCGGACCGGAACCGGACTGGGATCGGATAGCAAACAATCCAATCTCATATTCTGGCTTAAATTTGAGGTAAAAAACCGGATAAAGACTGTATAAGAGACCCCCAACACCTAAAATCAAGATCAAATGGGACCGGACCGGGTCAAGACCGGACTGTATCCAATCCAATCTTTTGTCCTTATATTCCCGAAAAGACCGGACTCGGATCGGATAAATTTGGTCTAATTTAACCGAACCGAACCGTATAGCCACCCCTACTACCTACGATAGAAAGTCATGTGTCATCAAAGAGGTCTAGTGGGAGGTACCATTTTAAGTATGGTTTGTTTGGAAATTAGCAAAGTTCAAGTGTGGGTTAATTTGATAACACGTAAAATAAATGTTTTATCACCTCATTTTATGGCATGTTTTGCATTATTTATTCATATCTTTGGTCATTTTAACTTGGATTTGCTGATATTCGCTCAAATGTGCATTTGATAGCCTCTAGGGTTGTTTTACACATGTGATGCGTTTTTGGTATTTATTGAATATTTTCAGGCCAATGCATCATGGAAGCTCATCATGGCAGGAAAGAAGATGAGATTAGCGCATGGACAAAACGGGGGTTGATTCAAAGTTTGGAATAGGGAGAGAAGACCATGTTAATTTTCAAGGAAATAAATCATTGACGAGCTGAACACATCTTGGAGCACGGTCGTGCAAATGATCATTTTCGGGCACCGCCAACAACTCTATTTAAGATGCCAATTAGGTTTTTTAAGGGGGAGGCAACCACTTTTCATCCAGAAACCCTAAACACAAGCTACAATAGAGAAAATGAGGAATTTTAGCATCATTGAGTCGGATTCAAAGATCAAGAAGTATGATATCAAGAATCAAGGAGTTACCATGGTGATGCCTTCTCCTCTTGTATTTTCTTATTATTTTGTTTGCATTGATAGATAAACTTTTAGGCTATTCAGATATGCAGAACCCTATGGATGATAGTTGGATTTGTTTTGTGGATTGGTTTATGCTCTTTGGAATGATTGATGTTATGCGATTGTTTTCATATCAATGTGATTGTTCATGTAATCGAAGCTATCTTGTCACATTTTAATAGCTTCCAATATATTTTATGATTAAGACTGGAAATAGCCATCGCATCACAATCAAACACCAATCAATTGAGCTACACCGGCTATTGAAGAGAGAAATATGTAGGGCCATTGTAGCATGTTAGATCTAACCATCGTTAGACAAACGATAGGTTGAAATTGCATCGCATAATTGAGCAATTCATATGGCATATAAGTGTATTATACCTAGGTGCAAGCACAATCTGAATTGTCACCTTTATCGTTTGCCTATTTTTATTGGATTTTTTTCCTTTGTTTCAATTTTGTTTTCCTTGTACGTGTCAATTTTAGGATTTTCGTATAACCTAGGTTGCAGCTTTTGGTTTTGAGTAATAGGATTGATTATAGACCAAGGTTGTCAAACCGCGGGTCGACCCGGACCCGGACGAGCTAGTGGGTCATGGGTCAATGGGTCACCCGTTTTAGCCCGGTTTAGCCCGGAAATATGAAAAGAGCCAATATATTCTATTTATATCCTGAATCCAAAATAAAAAAAATGCAACACTACTTCAACTACAACACACTTAAATAACATAAACTTAAATTCAACATAGTAAAAATTCAACAACACTTAAATCATTCACATAACATCAACTTAAGTCCATCATAGTTAAAAATTCAAGAACCCTTAAATCCAACACTCTTAAATCCATCACATAACATCAACTTAGAATTCCAAATAACAAAAGAAAAGTACTCAATCTTCAAAGATAAAGCTATCCATCTCCATCTCCATTGCATCAACAAGATGAGAAATGTCGAAGTCAATTTCATCAGTCAGATCATACTCAAAGTCCTCTGCATCAAAACGTGAAATCAAATATTCATAATTATTACCAATTAGAAGATAGTTATTATAAGAATGTCTAGACTTTTCTATAGTTGCTATAATAGGCAAACCTTCAACACGAGGACGCTTGTTAGAAGATGATGATGATCCTTGCTCCTCCTCCTCCTCCTCATAAAGAGTCTTTTCAAGCTCTTCATAGTCTATATCTGCAGGTGGATCTTCTTCTACAATCCAAAAATCAATGTTATCTAATTGTTCATAATCAATTGGGTCTTTCGCCCACTCCTTCTTCAAGCACCTACAAGTCAAAGAATATTAAACAATTAAGTATATGAATATGAAGTGTTAATAACTTTACAATGTTGTATACAATTTAATCATTACCTATTCTTCAACCTCAAATTGTAAGTCACATAAACAAGATCATTCAATCTTTGATGCTCCAATCGATTCCTTCGCTTACTATGAATTTGGTCAAACACACTCCAGTTCCGCTCACATCCAGAAGAAGATGATGTTTGAGACAAAAGTCGAATAGCTAGCTTCCTCAAATGTGGAGCATCGTCTCCAAATAGTGTCCACCATTCAGCTTTTCATTCAAACAAATTATTCTAAATAAGTATATAAACTTTGAAAATATTGTAAGCTTAAAACTAAATATGTAACAACTAACAAGTAATTAGAATTGGTTACCTGGAGGTAAAGTGGAAGTACACGAGATAGCTGATTTCTTCCCAAAGCTTCCAAGCCTATCTCTAAAAAGTCTAATCTCTTGCATTGCTTCTTCTATATTATCACATAGGCCTTCAGTTTCAAGAAGATCAATAAGACAAGTTTGCAAACCACGCTCCTCTCGAGCTTCCTGAGTATATTGAAAAACCGGGTTCAGATAATATGCACCTCCATAGATGCTATATCGAAGATGCTTATCCCATCTAGCATCAATTAACTTCATATATACATCAGCCCCTCTTCCATTGCCCATAAAAGTGTTCTTGATAGTCTTCTTTATCCTCATCATTCCATCATGCACATACCCCAAAGATGGCTGCTTATCAGAATCAACAATCCTCAACAACTTCACGATTGGCAATGTCAACTTCACAATCACTAAACAATCCTGCCAGAAATTGTTATCCAACACAATTGACTTGATGTGCTTCCCCTCTTTAGACTTTCCCAACTTGTGAGATGTAAAGAAGCTACTTGTAACAAGTTGTTCCAACAGTGGCCTATGATCATACACACTTTTCATACATATGAAGCTTGTAGCAAATCGAGTAGCTCCCGGGCGCACAATCTGCTTCCAACCCTCTAACTTTTTCAAAAAAGCTAAGATAGGAAGATGACTATAGACAAACACACTGATCTTCTGAGCTCGTGCAACCAAGTTTGACACATGTTTCATCTTGTAAATATCTTTCAACAAAAGATTAAGAACATGTGCAAGACATGGAGACCAAAAAATGCTCTTATACTTCTCATGAATTCTTCTTCCCGCAGCAACATAATTAGGAGCATTATCTGTGACAAAATGCACAATATTCTTTGGCCCAATCATGTCAATCACACCACCAAACAAGTCGGCCAAAGTACTTGCATCCTTAACCATGTCAGATGCATCAACAGATTTAAGAAAACAGACACCTTTTGGACAATATACTAGAAAATTAATCAATGATCTTTGACTCATATCCGTCCAACCATCAGCCATCAGAGTGCATCCAGTAACTTCCCAACTCTTTCGATAATCATGTATGATTAATGTGCATTCTTCTTTGACATCTCTCAACAAAGGAACTCTAAGCTGATGATAAGAAGGTACCTTATATCCAGGGCCAATAGCAATTGCTGCATCAAATGCCATTTGGTAAAATTCAGAGTGTGCAGCATTGAACGGGAGCTTAGCATGATAAAACCATTTAGCCACAATCATATCTGCATTTTTCTTTGCCTCTTTTCCAGCAAAAGCACTTCGAATGCCAGGCTGAGCTCCTGGTGTTGTTCTTGGAGCAAAGAAACTTGGTTGAGATTTTGACATTGTTGAGCTTGTGTTGATTTGCTCATCCGACTCATCAACATCTTCACTTTCATTTCGCGTTCTTGAAACAACTTTTGGTCTAGCCGACTCTTCAAGCAAAGCCCTAAACCTCACTTGAATATCATGAGTAACTTGTGGGCAAGGACTACCGTCACCTTTTCTTCCCGCCAAATGCTGTTTCACCCTGTTAATCCCTCCGCCTTTAATCACATGATTACACAACAAACATTTATGCCACATTTTTCCGGTTTCTGAGATGATTCGCTCGGCATACTGCCAAGTTGGATCCTTCTTTTCTCGATATCCACTACGAGCAGCATTGCTACCAACAGACGGTTGCGATGATTCATTGCCGGATGCCATTCTCAAAACCTGAATATCACATAATTGTATCAAACTATCATTATACGAAAGAAAAAAAACCAATCTAAAATTCTTCTTTCACATCAACAATCCCTAACTAACAAATAACAATTCATTACTGATTACTTTAACTTCTCCACATATATAATTCGTGTTACCACCTGCCATTCATCAATTGATAAACTTCCAAACATTCATCAATTTAACTTCCAAACATTCATCAATTAATAAAATCAACCAAACGTCCAAACCCTTACATTCATTAAAAAAAAAAACAAACCCTTACAATCCGAGTTCGAAGAGCAAACAGAGGGAGGAGGTCGAGCTGAGGCAGAGGAAACTTGATGACGGCCAAGCTCGAGCTGAAGATGGCGACGAGACCGACCCGACCTGAGGCAGAGGAAACTTGGTGGCGGCCAAGCTCGAGGTTTCGAGTGGCAGATGGCGGCGCTCAAACTTGATGGCGGCCAAACTCGAAGGCAGATGGTGGTCGAAGGCAGATGACAGAGCTCGAGCGCCTGTGGGGTGGGAGGCTAGTTGCCGCCGGCGATGGCGATCGAGCGGCGCCTGTGGGGTGGGAGCAGGGCTGCGCCGCGGATTGGAGAGGAGAGGCCGAGAGGTCGTGGCGTCGTGCGATGAAGGAAGGGTAGGGTTTTTGATTTCAGACCCTGCCCTCCGCCTAGTCCAAAACGTCGCCGCGCCGCTCCAAAACGCAGGGTAAGGAGTTGAACCAAGTGACCCGCTCTGGACGGGCGAACCGCCCGGGTTAGCCGGGCTTGACCGGGTTTTCCCGGGTTTGACCAGATCCGGGCTGACTGGCAAAAGGGTTGCATTGGCCCGTTTTTTGGGGCGGGTTCGGGTCAATCCGGGTTGACCCGCGGGTCGACCCGCGGGTTGACAACCTTGTTATAGACCTAGAATGAATACGATCTAATTAGTAATTAGACTTTCTCTACTTGGTTAAATTTTTCAATGTCTTAACAACATATCATAGAGTCACATAGGAAAGGGTTATAATCTCATGTAACACTTTTTTTTTTGTTTCCAAAATTAACTCCGACCTCATCATGTCCATTAATTGAAAATTAGAGGAGTAATTGTTTAGAGAGAGGTAATTAGCGATTAACAAAAACAAAGTAGGCTTCAGTTGACCATAGAAACTCAACTTCAATTGGTACGTACAACATACAATAATATGGACGATGAAGGGTCACAACTTTTCGTGCCCTCCATTTACAAATATAATCTCCATTTTTCTTCCTTTTTCATGATCAAAATAGAAACACACGCACCAACCAGGAAGAACAGAAAGAAAATAAAGCTGAGGGCTTGTTTTTTTAATCTTTATTACTACATATTTATCGTATAATTTCCTCTACTTTCTCCTGTTGGCTATTAGCTGCTGCTGGTTCCTCTTCCCTTCATGACATGTCTCCTTAACCCAGGTACATGAACATTAGTAATGTAGTCTCTCCAATCTATGCTCCCGACATCAAACCCGAATTGTCTCTTCTCACTCTCAGACATCAGCTCCATTAGTCTCTCCCCATTGCTGTTATCGAATCTGTATGCATAATGTATGACATCAGTTTCAACCATACTTGAAAACCATGGTTTGATAAGTTACTTTACCTTCCACCATAGAACGTGTATGGCTCGTAGATGTCGGCCAGGTACTTGGCTTGCTCCACAGACTTTTTGCAGATGAATTCGTGCCTTTGGGACAACTTCCCATCCGATGAGGTGATTGCGGTCAGCCCATTTCGCTGAATGACGTCCCTCCATAGGTGTTCGGAGAAGTCGTCCATGGAGCTGAAGAGTTTCATCAATGGAACGGTGATTGGCATGCCGTTAGAGTCCACATAGGGAGACGAGTTGTAGTGTTCATATAGCAGTGTGGCCAGGTCCTTGAAGATAAGTGGGTTCACTACTGATGAGGCGATTTGGTAGACATTTATCTCTGGTTTCTGCTCCATTCCATGTCTGGCTATTGCTGCCAATGTTGCATTCACCACCATATCTGCTGGCACCTTCAAAACCGATGGCCCATGAAAAACAGTAGGAAAGAGAAGGTTGATAAATTTCACATTAAGCAAGTCTGTTGGCTCTTATCCAAAAGCGAAAGTGAGTTTTTTGAATATGTACGTCGTTCTTACCACGTCAAGAACTCCATTTGGGTCTACTAGGAATCCTGTGAGCTGCCCTTTCCCATAGTACAAAACTATTGGATCCATCATCCTAATAAAATGGTAAATGAATTTGGATAGTTGCTAGCCAAAGGGGAAGGAACTAGATAGAGAGCTGACATTTTCTTGATTTCAATGATTACCTGTTGCCTTCCATCCAACCGGGGAATGGCTCCTTGTAGGTGCTCTCAATTACACTTGGCCTGAGAATGACGACTGGAATCTCACCTCTCATATTGTCAATCACCATTTCTCCCATGGCCTTTGTGAACACATAGGTATCTTGCCAACCGAATTTCCTTGCCCTGTTTAAGATAAGTTTGTTATTATATAACTAAGGTTGGAACAAGAAGAAATGAATGAAGAAGGGAAGTTGGAACTTCAGAAAAACGATTCACCTTTCCAATCCAAGTTCTCTCATCTTGATCGCAACTTCATTTGGGTGAAACACTTCCTTGGAGTTCATAACCATCTTAACTTCTTCTTGAATGTCCAATGTGAATCGTGATGCAGCTTCACAGACAAGACTATTGTTGTTCTCCCTAGCTATGCAATCCCCCATGCTGAATGCTCTCTCCATGATTCTTCCTTGTCTTTGCCCATTAACATATGCTGTTTCACGGGTAAAAAACAACAAAGGCTATGAAGAACAATTTCTATATTAATTATTTGAAGTGAGTCAATTTTTGCAGGCTATTATAAGAGTGGAGATCAGGAATATCAGTTTCTCAGTTCTCACCTGTTGATACTTGCAAGAAGAGTTTCAGATTTTGGCACTTCTTGGCGAAACTCATGAGGTTGGAAGGTCCCCTTGTGTTGATGTCAATTGCCACATCATATCTGCCAAATACTTAATCAATCATAACAGCAATTTCCATATGCATGACGAATTCTTCTAATAATAATGATGATAACAATAATCAATTTGAACCTTTCATCAAAAGTGGTATTTGCTGCTGAATTCACAATAACATCGACATCATCAGCAATCAAATCTGCTAATTCTTGTTCCAAACCGAGATTAGATTTGCAGACATCACCAACGACTGGGACTAGTTTGCTCAACATGAAAGTCTGAAATGATTTTCCATAGGTTTGTCGAAGAGTCTTGAACAGTTCTGCATTTAGTATCTATGCAACAACCATGGTTTAAAACAGTTTAGGTGACAGTTTGTTATAAACAAAAAAAAATAATAATAATCAAGAAGAAAGAAAGAAAAACATACTTCAGTTTTCAATCTCGCCATTGCTGCATCCTTGTCTTTAGCCTTAATCAACAGATATATCTTCCCCACATCAGGCATTGTCCTAATTATCTTTTCAATCAGGACTGCGACCAAAGGGTATGTATTACTATCTCTTAAAGGACAAATAATTCTTGAGACATGGTAAAAATGACTTCACAGAAATGAAACAAACCTTTGGCCAGAAACCCGGTTGCGCCAGTAATGAAGAACCCTTTCCCTCTCAGAAACCTCACAATCCCAATACCATCATGAGTTTCCACAAGACTAGAACTTGTTGGTCCACTGTAAGGCACTAAATCTTTCACGACAATCTCTGGTTGTCCATTCACAGCCAAAACCAAGCTGCTAGCATCCATCACAGCTGCTGGTGAGATTTGTTGTTCCTGATCAGTAGCAGTAGTAGGAGTAACCAAAGCTGATGTTCTCCCACCAAAAACTGAACCAACACCAGACCTGATTGCCTTTCCTCCTCCGCCTTGACAGAACACAACACTACTAGTAGTACAACCTTTCTTCCTCCTAGGCCAACGATGACCACCAGAAGATATCTTCACATCTTTATTTGTTCGAACAAGAAGTGAATGAGGAGGAGGAGGAGGAGAATAGAGGAAGAAAGAACCCATTATAGAATTATGTAGGTAAGAGATTTAGGAACAAAAAAGAAACAAAACTAAAACTCAGTTTTGTAGTTAAAGAAATGGTTGGATTAGAACTTGAGCTAAAAACTATCTAAAAACAAGATGTAAAGAAAAGGGGGCTTAAGATAAAAACGAGAAAAAAAAGCTAGTAAGCTAACTGACTCTATAAAGATTGTGAGCATATAATGAAAGCAGGTTTGGTTTGTTAGTTTAAAAGGGGAAGGCATAAAGAAACAGGGGGGAAAAGGAACAGGAGAAGAGAAGTTGGTGCGTGTGTTTGTGCATGAAGAGTTTTGTATGATGGAGCCAAGTTTTTTTATAGTGGGAAATATATATACATACATACAGAACAAGAAAAGAGGCTCTCTCTTTTTGCCACTTTGAATTAAGAGACAAAATTGGAGGAGGATGCTCTTTAGTTCACATATATTTTAACAATTAAATGTTTCATTAGAAAAAAAAACAATTCTTGTATGTCAAAGAAATGCAATTGGGAGGGTCATGCTATTCGTGTTGTTTATTCTAAGGACCTGCAGAAAAGGAAAGGAAACGTGTCTGGGATGGGGGAGCAACGAAGGTACAAAAAATGTACGATTTTTTCATTTTTACTTTGTTCCCTTCTGGTTTGCGGAATAGTACTAGGTTAAGTTATAAATAAAACAGTAGAGACAATTATGTATATTAGTAACTGTCAATATGACAGAGCTCTTTTAATTGTGAAAATATAAAATTACGCAAGCTTTGATTTAGAAATTCTATAGCAAGTTTCATCATTTATCAACCCAAATCATTATATTGGTGCGTAACAGATTAATTCCATAAAACATTATATTCCTCCTTTCCTTTCCCAAAATTTCATGGTAGCTCTTCAATTGAAAGAGCTTTCAATCAGAGAGGTAGATCATAGTCTACGGACAAACAAGTTTTCCCACAGAGAAAACTTTTTTGGGCAAAAAGAAAATGAGAAAATGTTCATCACTCACCTATTTTGTCAAGGAAGACCCTTTTCTCATGAACCAATAGCAGAATTTTTTGTTTCGTGATGGTTGTCTCAAGACCATGTTGACCACCATTTTCTAAATTTTAAACAGGTTCTCTGATAAGCTATCAAACTACAATACATTAGCAGCATAAATATTGAGGTGCAAAATGAAAATTGCATGTGTATATTAAGATGAAGTAATAACTAATAAGCATGATTCATGTGTTCAATATTAGACATACCTAGTTAATTTCAACTCTAACGACTAATGCCAATAGACAACTCACTCACTTACTCATTGAAATCTGAATGTCAATCTCTAGCTGCCCATATAGCAAGACTAGCAGTTTAGATGTGCAGTTTACTTCATTTACCATAAACTTACTTCATCACCTCAATTCCACCAGTTTACTATTCTAAATGAAAAAAATAATTAGAGTCCACTTGTAGCCTGAGTGGTACCTCATAGATGCATTTGCGTTCGTTCATACTTTTATCTGAAAGGAATCCGACTGTCAAGTTATCAAATTCACCTGAATCCCCTATCCTTGAGTTTAACAAGTATCAGTATAAAGATCCAAGGAGCCTCAATGTAGAAATTTTTTCAAAACAACAAGTTTCCAAGCCATAATGCCCAGGTAGTTGAGTCAAAATTAAAATGGTCAGCACGAAGAGTCATAATGCACCTCAATGCAGAAGAATCCTACAATGAAGAAGTATCCATGATGATGTATTCATTCGAATCACACAAGGGCGCAGATGGAAACCCATGATACACAGACTCTAGTAGATGCAACAACATCAAAGAATCAATGTTCATGAAACCCAAGCCTCATGTCGTCTAGAAGGACATCTCATGCCATATATATGTCCCCCACTTTCATTCATTTTCAACTAATTTTGTGTGGATGGAAGTTCTCTCATTATTTCTTAAGGATCCAATCAACGGCTTGCAATCGTGTCAATTATTAAGCTTAGTTAACAACTACAGTTCAAAAAACAAGCAAGGCAAAGACTTACTCACCGAGATGAGCATAGGGTGAGACAATTGAAATTTCATCTATCTCCATGTTATTTGCCGTTCTTCAAACATAAACGCCAACAAAATGAACATTGTACAATTGCACAACATAGCAAGTGTCAACAATGTAATAACCATCGTTTTCCATTCCATATCCATCTTCTGTATGCAAGCTAGGAAACCTGATAGTTTTGAATATAATATAAATGGAAGATTGGAGAAGCTCGAAGGTTGCGATGGAAATGCATGTGGTCTGAGGAAGTTCGTGAATGAGGGGTCAAAGGCGGAGATAACGCAGAACCAAGTGGAGATGATCAAGCTACCAGGAGAGCCATCATGATTTCCGACAATTCAACGAAGATCTTTGGAGTTTGGGTAGGACCGTAGGTTATGGTGGTATGGTGTCGGCGTGACGCGTGTCGCCATATGAGCAAGGTTTCACAATGGCGAGTGACAGATTCTACATTAAATAAAGAACTGAGCTAGCTCACTTAATTTTACCAAAAAAATAAATAACAAAAATGCAACTTGATTGATGGATTTGATGGCGACATTGCGATTTGTGACGAAGGAAGGAGAAGCAGGAGAGGGAGGATGTGTAATTATCCAAAATGGTTATATACGTTTGGAATTTGTAAAAAATATTATAAATATTTTATTTTCTACAAAATGGTTGCACATTAATTACCGTTTGTTCCCCTTCTTCAAATATGTGAACGGAAATTGTAATAGTATAACCAAAATTTAATTTATGTGATTTAGTTACAACCATGATTCGATTCATGTAATTTAGTTGCAGCTTGCAACATAAAGGTTAGTGGAATGGGTGCATTTAACCCCGTACCTGAAAATATTAAATCCAAAAGGACCAAAACGTTTGGATTTTTCGATCAAACTTTGTTTTCCTTCCCTTCAACTTCGTCCAATTTCTGTTCTTGTCTAAGAAAGCTAGGTTTCCAGCGAAGTCTGCGATAGCGGCTAGAATCGGCGAAATTCAACCCGAGTTCCGCTCGTCACTTCAACCAACAAATCGTCTCCTGTACTCTCTCCTCCGGATCCACGTCGCTTCTTCTCTATCTCCGGCGACATCCGACAAATTTCCGGCCGCCTCCCTCTTCTTTCTCCCTCTCAGACCCTTGCGTTTACTCCAGGTATACTTGCGGCGTAAAGACCGATTCGTCCGGTTGCTTATCCGTCTAGAGCAGCTTCTGGTCCGCCTCTCTTCATCTTGTATATAGGCGAGCTTCAATTTCTATCGTCGCTGTTAATTTCGTTGATTTTCCAGCTCCAATTGTTTTTTTCTGCGCGTCAGCTTCTGATACCAAATTGCTTACAGAAAGAGTAGAGAGGGAATCCATTTTGGGGGAATCAGGAACCAGTATTCTTAGTTGATTGATTAGTTTGACCGGGGGAGAAAAGAAAAGTCTGCAAAGATGGTGTTGGCAGAGTTGGGAGGGAGTATCTCCCGAGCTATACAGCAGATGAGCAATGCCACCATTATTGATGAGAAGGCATTGAACGAGTGTCTGAATGAGATCACTCGTGCTCTGCTGCAATCTGATGTGCAGTTCAAGCTCGTCCGGGATATGCAAACCAATATTAAGAAGATTGTCAATCTTGACGATCTTGCTGCTGGCCACAACAAGCGGAGGATCATCCAACAGGTGAATTACTTTTTTCCTTCCCCTGTTTAATTTCACTGCTTGGGTCTTCTTCACGTTGTTCGTTTTGATGAAAGTCTGGTGCAATTTCATTACAATAATCTCGCTGCAAGGAGTGGCATGCGAGCTAGTGTGACTCCAAGGATTGAGCCAGTGCATTCTATAGTGACCGAATGAAGTCGTGCATTAGTGATTAACTATGTGAACAGCAAGTGTGTGCATGGGGGGTAAAGTGCTTATCTGGAAGAGCTTTGTAAATTGCTATGATGCATACTAGTGTGACTCCAACCCAAATTCTCCTTGAAGTTTCTAATCACCAGTAGGAGAACTAGAAGGTTTTGCTCTCACGCATGATATCCTCTAGTCACTATGTTTCATGGGTTGTAATGGTGTTGCATGAGATGAATTACAATGCTTAGACTTAGCAGAATACCTGTCCCTCCTTTAGATATGTATGTTTGATGCTCTCCGGATGCAAATACAGGTATTGCTTGTACTGGCATAGCAGAAATGCTAAAGTTGTATTGTTGTGTTACACCCATAACAAATGCATTATACTGTTATGGCTCTTCATGGCCCGTGTAGAAGATTATGCTGTACGTAGTGCGAGATAAGAAGTTGGAATACACTTTCTGATTTCTGAAACTTATGAGAAGCTGGTAGGATGATAGATATATAATCTATTTGGAGGATTGTGGTCGAGAGGCTGTCACTTGCTGCTGCTTAGGCATCTTTTGGAAATCAGATTCTGATATGTGTAATGCTGTATCATTCCTTTCAAAGACGTTTAACTCTTTTCTGAAGTTATTTGGTTTAATTAGTAGACTTTTACTATATGATCATAGGCAATATTCAATGAGCTCTGCAAAATGTTGGATCCTGGGAAGCCTTCTTTCATTCCAAAGAAAGGAAAAACAAGTGTGGTCATGTTTGTTGGTTTACAAGGTATGTGCATCTCTTTTTCTTGTACTATGGTAAACATGTAATTACTGCTATAAGTTTCTTCCACCTTTAATTTCACTTCTTTGTTTGGGGCTTTGATGGTTTCCGTTTGTTATGTCAGGTTAATTATGTTTAACTTGTGGCAGAATGGAATTTGTTTCACTCTCTTTAAGTTTATTGCTTTTCATATCCAATCTATAACCTATTTACCTTTTCAGGTTCCGGGAAAACTACTACATGTACAAAATATGCATATTATCATCAGAAGAAGGGCTGGAAGCCTGCTTTAGTTTGTGCAGATACATTCAGAGCTGGTGCTTTTGATCAGCTGAAGCAGAATGCGACTAAAGCTAAGATTCCATTCTACGGAAGGTATGGTTCTTCCTGTTATCTTTGCCTTTTGTTGTACTTACTAGTGTATATACTATTTGATTCACTAGGCTTATTACAAAATATTTTTGGCTACTCTATCCAGCTACATGGAATCGGATCCTGTAAAAATTGCCGAGGAAGGTGTAGAGAGGTTCAAGAAGGAGAACTGTGATCTTATAATAGTTGACACTAGTGGTCGTCATAAACAGGAGGCTGCCCTCTTTGAGGAAATGCGTCAAGTTGCTGAAGCCACGGTAATCTCAGTTTTACTCACATATGTGACCCTGTAATAAGTTCCCTAAAAGGAGCTAGACTTAATTCTTTCTTCTTCTTCTTTCCCCAGAAACCAGACCTTGTCATATTTGTCATGGATAGCAGCATAGGTCAAGCTGCATTTGATCAGGCTCAAGCATTTAAGCAAAGCGTTGCTGTTGGAGCCGTGATTGTTACTAAAATGGATGGTCATGCAAAAGGTGGTGGTGCTCTTAGTGCGTGAGTCTTCCTCCCTACAAATTGTATTAATCTTCGATTCTGCATTTTTCCTTGCATACCTGCTTTTGATTAATATGTGACGGAAAATTATTTTCCATTTCAATCTAATGAGAAGTTAGAAAAAATTTTCTTTACAAATTGTATTCGTTTAATGAGCAAATGTTGTCTGCCTAGCAGCAGCTGCTTGAGACATCAAAAGAAGTGTCTTTGGCATTGACCACTCAAGCATGGACACTGATTTTGTTCTATATGATGCTTACAGTGTTGCTGCAACAAAGAGCCCTGTCATCTTTATTGGAACAGGAGAGCACATGGATGAATTTGAAGTATTTGATGTGAAGCCATTCGTTAGTCGTCTTTTAGGTATTCATAGCTCTCTCCCCCCCTCGGTCTTCTTTGGCACTTTCGTGTCGTGTTCTTCTTTACCTACTGAGCTAAGTTATTGAAATGCATATTGCTATGAGCACTTTACCGATATTGCTTATTCCTATTAGGCATGGGTGACTTATCTGGATTCATGGATAAGATACAAGAGGTTGTTCCTATGGATCAACAGCCCGAACTCCTGCAGATGCTCTCAGAAGGGACCTTTACTTTAAGGATTATGTATGAGCAATTTCAGAACCTTCTCAAGATGGGTCCTATTGGCCAGGTTATTTTTCCATCTTTTTCTCTATGGTATCTCAGAACCTTCTTAGGATGCTGTTTTGTGATTGCTTCGACATTAAACATGTTGTATTCTCTCTAGGTATTTTCAATGCTTCCAGGGTTTAGCTCTGAATTAATGCCAAAAGGTCGCGAGAAGGAAAGTCAGGCAAAGATCAAGCGGTATATGACCATGATGGACTCCATGACAAATGAAGGCAAGTGGTGTTTCCTGTTATCTTTCGTTTTCAAGTGTTTGGTGTTTGCAGGCGATTGTCCTCATCAGCTTACTGATGTTGGGTTTGTAATGCCATTAATTAATTACAGAGCTGGACAGCACGAATCCAAAGCTGATGAACGAGTCGCGGATGATGAGGATAGCAAGAGGGTCGGGGCGTCCACTCAGAGACGTGATGGAGATGTTGGACGAGTACAAGCGGCTTGCGAAGGTGTGGAGCAAGATGAAGGGGCTGAAGATCCCGAAGAAGGGCGAGATGAGCGCGTTGTCGAGGAACATGAATGCGCAGCACATGAGCAAGGTTCTGCCTCCCCAGATGCTGAAGCAGATTGGCGGCATGGGTGGGTTGCAGAGTCTGATGAAGCAAATGGGTGGCGGCAAGGACATGAAGGACATGATGGGAATGCTTGGAGGTGGAGGCGACAATTGAAAACAATCGAGTCTGAGCGGGCGTAGGCAACTTACAAATTGGGCTTTTTTAGCTTTTCTATAGCGGTCGGACCAGGCCCAAGTCAGTTTGAAAATGGACGCATTTAGCGATATACTACAGGCCATCGCATAATGTTTATGGACTTGCTGGTTGTTAGTTGAGTTTTGGGCCACTGCAGTAACGGTGCATTTTTGAGACTTTAACAACTAGGGATGGCAATTTCGACCTGACCCGTTTTACCCGACCTGTTTGACCTGTTTTGGGGCGGGTCCGACCCGCCCCGTAGGCGGGGCGGGCATGGGTAGTCTCATCGACCCGACCTGCCCTGACCCGCCCCATTCTCGACCCGTTCTTGTCTAAATTACATGTAATCTTAGTCAAATTACTTTGAATTTTTCTTTTATTGCATCATATTTTAGCTATAATAAAGTTGTAAATTCGTGACAACCTCAATTTCTCCAATAATTTAACAACAATTGTCATAATATTGTTTGTTTTCTTAGTCTTATAATAAAAATAACGAATATTTCTAATGTTTTTCATATAAATTGCATACCCATTGGGTCGACCTGCCCCGACCCGCGACCCGTGATCAATTACCCGCCCTGCCACGGGGCGGGTCTGGGTACCAAGAAACCCGCCCCGGACCTGCCCCATTGCCATTCCTATTAACAACAAAGACATGGCCTTTATAGGCAATTCCGTTGGCGTGCTTAAAGGGCTTAGTATGAGCACCAGCTTACTTAGCTTAGATCGTGTCTCGTGATTCATAATCAAGGTTGTCAACCCGGCTTAGTTGAACGATTATTGGTAGGTTAAAATGCTTTTGGTGTAATCGATAACCAAGTAGCCAATTAATAGTTAAGCGACAACTAACCGATAATAATTTCGTTAAAAAAATAAATATTTGGTCAATTATTTAGAGCTAATTGTTCCAAATCAGTTGCTAGCGGGTTAGTCGGTAACCAAAAAAGTTACTGATAACCGATTATACGGTCATTAGTTAATCGACTAACAGAAAAGATGTAATTAGTGATAAATATAAATTTATTAACAATTAATCGATAACCAAATAAACGATTACGGCTATAACACAATCGACTAAGCTAACGAGCGTGATGCACCATAGCTAGATTCTTTTCTAAACTAGTTTGGTGCACGACTCGTTGATCGGAATGTTATTTGAACATAGCGTATTTACAATGTGCATACTAATGTTTCCAAATTATTTGAAAATACTTAATTTGGTATGACATTAAGATGATTTCAAACTTTTTGTTCAATTTTTTAAATCATTTGGTATTGTTGGCTGAGGCGAAGTCTGCAACTCCAACTTTGGTTGGGTAAGACTTGCAGTCGGCCTGCGATTGTCCGTAACATTTCATCAATGACCGAATATTGTATTCTTAATGATTATAACATTCGTGAATCATTCATGACCTGTCTATTTAATTATGCAATCACTTAGTTATCTATAGTTGAAAAGAAAAATGGCATAACAAACAAAAAAAAGTTTGTCTAACAAAATATAGTATAAATAGCAAAACATAACCATGAATTCCAGCTACTTTCTAGTGAGATATCTCTATCTATACCATGAATTAAATCGAGTTTGAGGTATGATACTATACCCTAACTTCTCATAGATAAACCCCAGATCCTGATTCTCTAAACTCAAATGTGAAGTTTAATTTAATGGACCGTTTAGATTGGCCGGAGCTCAAAAAAGGAGATCTAAAGGTCATATCACATGAAGTATGATATACTCTTATGTGTGTGTGTGGGGCAAAGTCTAGCGTATGTCTGTGTTCACACTTGGTTTTTGCACTTCAATATATTTTGTTGAATCAAAACTTTCGATTATTATTTTTTAGACTAAATGAATCTTGTGGTTTGGGTTAGAGAATTAGGGACTAGAGTTCACCCGTTAAAGGTTAGGATATAGTATCATGCCCCAAACTCCAGTTAATTCATGCTCTAAATAGTAAGTATTATAAACAATGCAATAACAAAACAAAAAAATTGACGGGAATCTGTAATCTTTATTAATCAGAATGTGCTACTACATCATCCAGCTCCAGTTGATTAACTAAGTACACAGGGGTCTATCAAGCCAAACTAAAACTCGCATCCCATCTTGCCATCACATGAGCCATAATATGTGCCGCCTCATTCGCTTCTCTCCGTATATGCCTCCAAGAACCATTGCCCACCTCCCTAAGCCGCTTTCATATATTTCGGCAAATGATCTCAACTTCAGTTTGCGCAAAAACCGCTATCTCAATCTTCTGAATAAGCCACAAACAGTCTGTCTCAAGAATCGGCGTGCCCAGCTGGAGTTCGCGGACCATCTATAGACCACATTTCATTGCCAGCGCTTCTCCCATAACGACGTCATTTGAATCCCGCATCTTCTTGAACCTTCCTTGATTCCACCATCTCTCTCATATCTCCTTTCGGTATGATTCCATTACCCATTTCAGCCGTTGGTAGCCATTAGGGATGGCAATTTTGCCCCATACCCATGGGTTTTGATTTCATTACCCATCTAATAGATATGCATATTTAGTACCAATTTTTTTTTTTTGCATATAAGTCCTCAAAAAATTGATGGAAAATTACGTTTTGGTACCTAAATTTTTTTGGTCTTACATTTTGGTACCTTAACTTTTCAAGTTTTACAAATAGGTCCAATTTTTGCATGTATAGTTAAAACACCCTCAAGTAAATGGATATCCATATCCAACCCATATTCATTTAGATTATGGAAGCAATATACATACCTTACCCAAACCCATCTACAAACCCCAAACCCATATGCGCTTCACCCATACCCAACCCATTATGAATGGGTTTACTTGGATTTGGGTATAATTACCCATGGGTGGGTAATTGCCATCCCTAATAGCCATTAATCTCTCTGCAGTTTTGAAAACACGAGGAGAGCTCTACTTCGCGCCAAAAACGGCTAGTCCAAGCGCACTCTCTAAAGTGGTGGATATGTGTTTCCTGTTCATCCATATCACTAACACATTATAGTTATCTCTAAGACCTTAAATCTTGTTCATTTTCTCTCAATTTTACATCGTGACAAATAAATTTCATTTTACATTGACATTCGAAGAAATTTTTTAGATTATATAAAAAAACTTTATACATGATCGTTCGGGAATTGCTCGGGTGGTTTTCCCTCGAACCGCTAACTGGTTGGTTTTGATATAACAAATTACACCCATTGCTCATGTGGATGGTTACGGTTTTAAAACCGCGGTTCGAGGATAGTATATATGAAAACCAGCTCCACCTAAATCGTTGTCATCCCTTCTCTTTTTTGGTACACTATGCTAATCCATATAACCACATCAATGCATCAATGAAAACTTCAGTCCTACTTCATGATTTTCCCTTTACCGTGGTTAGTTCATATTAAACCAGGTAATTCTAAATGATGCATATGACTAATTTCTCTATAAGATAAAAATAATAAAATAATAAAATAATTTACAAAATTGGTGTTCACAAATTATATTCTTTTAAGCTTATCCATACGCTTCATAGAAAGAAATTTCCATTGAGAAATAATCAGAAAATGGGTAACAATATACATAGATAAAGATGCTAATAAAAGTTAATATCTATCATTTGACGTTGAATATTCTAGTACACTTGAATAAGCTTACGATGCAAAATCTCTTTAAAACGACATGGTTAGTGAAAAATCAACCCTAGATACTTAGAAAAGTGTTTCAAGAAAAAAAGAGATTAAATAATCAATTATTGTATTATAGGCATTCAAAAAAAATAAACCATTTGTCATGGAATAAAAATACTAATCACACTTACTTACTTCACCGTGCATTGGTTGAGATTTCTGCTTTGTACTCAATAAGTAAAAAGTTGTAGCTTCCTTTCCAAGTATTTATTTATATTGTTCTCTTTGTTTGTCATTTTGTTTTCCTTGGATTATATGGTATCAGTATTCTTATATTGTCCTTGACATATAAAACTTATAAAAGAGGAAATGAGATTTGTTACATCCAATCTATAAAAATTAATATCAATTTAAGAATTTTGCATCGCTTCTGCATATTTAATATTGTGATTTGATATGCAATATTCCATCCAATGATACTTGGGTTGCGATTTTACTGATCTTTCATTTATAAGTATTAAAATTTTCTACATTACTTATTCGGATCCAATTAAAATAATTAAATTATGAAATCAAAATATCAAGCACCATAAAAATTCCATATTTGTGAGCTAGCTAATTGTGATGGAAAAGTCCTATACTTTTAATATTTTAACTTCGTGTATATATTTTGTATTAAAAAATACAACAAATTTATTTAGTGTAGTTGATTATGATTCTAATTTTTAATGAAATGATCCTGGTTCAAATCATGATATTGATATTTTCTTAGATATCATAAATAAATAATTATGTAGCCAAAAATGACAGTCCTACTTTCGCTCCTATTGAACTAAATTTGAAATTGAGAAAAATAACTAACGGCTTTACATTGTAGGGAGGACTACACATTAGTATTATTGTTAATTCCCCATTGCGTCATTGGAACTAGCTAGTCATCGCCATCTTGTGGTTTGTGGAAACAATGTACGAGTTTGTTAATTCACAGGACAGGACGTGATGCTCCATAATATATTATTATTATTATTATTAATAAATAACTTGGGAAATCAACGTCGGCATATCACTCGGTAAGTAACAATGAGTAACCAAATCTGGATTCTTCTTTTTAGTGACGGCAGATCTAAGGGTGGAGAATTAAAGGAATTTATTTTCCCTAGTTTTCTTAATTGGATCATATCTTCTTCATTCTAACTCGGATTTCAATTTTTTTTTTGCACAGATAGAACGAGTTCGTTGTACTCTACAAAATGATATCCATTTTCAATATTTTTTGAGAAAAAAAAATTTCATCCCTCTCGTTACCAACTCCATACCATATGGTATCTCCTTCGTTGTTTAGTCATTTTCGGAAATTTTTGCACAAAAAGAACGGTTTAATCATGATCTATTGGATTTCAAAATTTTTTGGGGGAAAAAATTTTAAACCTCTCGTTACCAACTCCATACCATACTATACCACCCTGGTATGAGGTGGTATTTTTCATACCATATGATATGTTGTTATTTAATACCATATGGTATCGACTGGTATTAAATAACATCATATGGTATTGACTGGTATTTTTCATACCATATGGTATGCTGTTATTTAATACCAGTCAATACCATATGGTATAGACTGGTAATAACTGGCAAATTTTTTTTGTTCCAAAAAATATCAAAGTGGATATCATTTTGAAGAGCACAATTAATCTGATCTAATTGTGTAAAAAAAATTAAATTCCGAGTTTAAACGAGTGAGAAATCGTCCGTTAAAGATTAAGGAAAAGAAAATTAATGATTTTTCCAAGAGATAGAAGGAGGCGCTGATGTGGTAGATTTTTATTGGGTTATGCATGAGATTACTCACCATAAAGTTACTTACCGAATCTGCTCCCGTATCTCGGCATTGAGAGAATATTTGCAACTACAAAGGTGATAGCTTGCCATATTGTACTAATTGACCGTTACATTAGTATATGTGTTGCTTTCATGCATAAAAGTAAAGCCGACGTTGAAGACCTAAATCTCAATAATTTTTTACGACTCTGCCAAATACATTCATCTCAGGTGCAATTTCATGACCCTAGAATTTTTTTTTAAGT